TGAAATATTGCATTTGAAATATTTCATTCACATTGCTGCTAGTGTGAAACCCCTATGAATGAAATTTAAATTTCAATCTATTTTTAATTGATTTGTTTTAGTTTCAGTGTAATTAAATTATTTTGAGTGTGGGTGAAGGTGTTATTCATTAATTTTTTTTAATACAAACTTTTTACGACATATTTCCAATGCATTATCAGCTAAATCTTTTAATGGAATAAATTTTTTTCCACGATATGAACCATCCATTGTAACTAGAATTGAACAACGTGCATCAATTATACGTTCAGATAATGATTCGGCAGAGAATCCGGCAAACTATTTGTTTAATAAATTATTAATGAAACAAAATTGATATTAATTTTAATTAAAAAAAAGATGATGATTTTTAATCGAAATAGAATCTATACTTACAACAACTGTATGTACGGCACCAATACGAACAGTAGCAAGCATGGCAACAACAAGATCGATAGTAACTGGCATATATATGGCAATACGATCACCTTTTTTAACACCTTTGCTTAGTAAAAAGTTGGCAAATTTGCACACTTCTTTCAATAATTGTGTATAGGTAATACTTCGAGATTCATGTGTTTCATTTCCTTCCCTATTTATTGGTTTTGTTTAATGATCAGGTAAGAGAGAGGAGAAAAACATAGAATAAATAGATGTTAAATGGATTCTGTTTCTATTCTAATAATGATAAAGTTTTTTTTTTGTATTTAATAAATATGAATAATAATACATACCAATAATATGCAATACGATCACCGAGGCCATTATGAACATGACGATCCAATGCATTATAACAAATATTTGTACGTGCACCTTTCATCCATTTAGTAAATATTGGTCCTTTTGATAGATCAAAATTATAATCAAGAAAATCATCAATTCTTGGAGGTATTTCCCAATGAAAATTTTTACTAAAATTATGCCAAAATTTGACCGGATCTTCAATTGATAATTTATATAATTGTCTATATTCTTCCATATTATTAATGTAGGCATCTTTTTTATAATCATCACTTGGATAGACCATTTGGTCTCGATTAAAATCTGAAATGGCCATCTTTTTTTTTGATTGTTCACTAAATTTTATTATTGTTTTTTTTCGTTGTTGTTTTCGTTTTTGATCACAATCGTATAGAAGAAAAATAAATTTATAGAAGGGGTGTTGTAGTAATTGATAATTTAAAAAAAAAAATATTTGTTGAATTTTAAGAATCGGAATACATTGCACATATTGAATTTGAATCGATGAGAGATTTATCTTTTCATTCAATAATAATTCTTATAAAGAATTTTATAAATGGAGAAAATAAAAAAAAACAACAAAACAAGAAATAAAAAACAAAACGAGAAAATTTTTACACATATAAAAACGATAACAAATGAATAAAAACACTATGGTAAAATTTTTGTATTATTACATTTTAGGAACATTTTTTTTCACATTCATTCATTCATCATCCAAAATGTTAAATGTAAAAACGAAAGTAAATGATGATGATGATGGTGGTGGTGGTGGTGATGAAGAAAAAAAAATTTATTATTATTCACAAAACGAGAGCAACAAGAACATAACGGACAAGAGAAAATTGATAAACACAAACACACACACTTGATGTGAAGATAAGAAACAAACGAAAAAAATCCAAGAAAAAAAAAGAGACGAATATGAAATGATTTTAACTTTTAACTAAATAAACTGACAGGATTATTATTGAGATAATGTGTGTGTGTGTTGAGACATCGCCCATTTACCGTTACGAAGAAAAAATAATAATAATATAGTCAAATGTGAAAAGTGTTAAACAGTAGAAAGAAGCAAACAGAAAGTAAATATATTCTCAATATTTTTGATTTGAAAATTGAAGAAGAATTGTAGAATTGAACCGTTATTCTTTAGTTTAAAAAAAAAAATTTTCACATCAAAATGACATGTGAAATGATGATCATTATATATTGATTATTATCTGAACATTATCTATGTTGTTATTTTTGTTGTCGATGATGATGATAATGATGGGTATCTGAATGATTCGATTAAGATTATTATTTTTCTTTTGGTGCCAAGTTTTTTTTTCGTTCAAGATAATAAAAAACGGATGATTATTGGCTATTTTGTAATCAGTATTATAACATACACGTCCAGTGTGTATATTTTTCTTCTTCTTCTTCAATTTTAAATTTGGAAAATGAGTGGAAATATCAAGTCATAATCAAACGACGAAGAAGAAAAAAAAGATGATTTTCATGTATTTCCAGTATATCTCCAGACGTTCCCCCTTTATTTTTTTTGTCCAAATCAAATTACATCAATAACCAAAAAAAAACTTGCACAAAAATAAATGAATTTACAAATATAATCACCATATGGTGGTTATGGTGGTGGAGGTGCCGAGAAACACTTGGGGCAAAAAAAAAGTTAAAATAAATTTTGATTTTTTTTGAAATTAAAAATAAACAACTTTTGCACAGAAATTGGAAAAAAAATTATATTTTGCAATAACAGAAAAAATTTGAAAGATTGAAATTGAATTTATTTTGTTGCCTTTAAGAAGATAGAGGATGCAGGATTGATGGAACACTGATGATAAACGGTTCGAGAACAGAAAATATTATGGGAACCAGAGATTTTTTTTTGTTTGTTTTTCGTTGAAAAATGAGATGAGAAAATTGTTCCAGAAAAGAAAAACGTTTATGATGTATTGAAGAGAATGAAAAAAAATTGAAAAATTGATTGATTCGATCGATTGATTGATTGATCAAAATGCGAAAAAAGTCAATTTTTTTTGGTTTACACACACAAAGTCACAGGAATCGAATGTTTTTATAGCGAGAGAAGAAAAAAAAATGGATTCGAATTTCTTGATGCTATTCACAAAATATGTATCTGATTATGATTAGAATTTGGAAATTTGAAATTAATTCAAATCGATAATCAATTGCTTATCGATAAATGTTGTTGTTGTTGATTATTCCATGCTTTTTTACATCAGAATTTTTTGTTTTCTTACATAAAATTAATTAATTAATTAATTTTTGATGAATTTTCATTTCGATTAGATAAAATGATATAATTATCTTTATGAACGGAACACACACACACACGATCACAGTTGGAAGAAAAATAAACATTCGAAATTCATCTAATCAATCAATATCCATCCATCCAACCAACCATTAAAACAAAATAATTCAACAAGCCATTCTATGAAATGAATGAATAAAATTCATTAAACGAGCAACAAAAATTGAACGAATTTCATAAATTTTATCTTTAAAAGATAGAAGAAGAAGAAGAACACACGCACAAAAATCTAGAAGATTATTATTTTGCCACGACCATCAACCACCACCACCACGATCATCACCTTATCATCATCATCATACCTGTTATTCATCGATGTTGTTGTTGTTGTTTCGATTGGTTAAATTATTTGTGTGTGTGTGTGTTTATAATTGTAATTCTAAAAAAACATTAATAATATTTATTTTTTTTTGTAAGTGATCATTCTCTCTCTCTCTCTCTCTCTCTTTCTCTCTCATATCATCACTTATTTTTTTCCTTAAATGATAAATATTAAGATAAATAAATAGATAGTTAGATAAAAACATTGATAATCGATTTCTTAATCAATTGCACACATATCATTTCAAAAAACAACGAAATAAAATAACAACAACAACAAATTCATCACCCAATAAACTGAACACTTTAGCTATTTAACGAATCAATCGTATAAACAGATTTCCAAAAAAATTTTTTTTTTCTATATTTCGATTATTGTCATTCAATTGTTGCTGCTTCTTCTTCTGCTGTTGCTTTATTGTTTCAAGATACTACTTGTTTCAGATTGTTGTTGTTTTGTTTACTTCATCTTTCGTCTTTTAAATTCATTCATTTATTGGGGATAATAAGAGAAAAAAAGAGAAAAATAAAAGAGATGTTGAAGGCCCCAAAACGATGATAATGATGATTATGAAACGGTTAATAATTTTTAACAAGAACGGTAGCAGTAAACAAAACAAAACAAAACAAAAAAATTTCAAAACAAGTGGCAAACAAAAATGTCAACATTTGAACAACAGGTAGGAATCGTTGATTTTAGAGAAAAATTTGTCAAAAAAAAAAGAGAGAGAATGTTTTTTGTTTTTAATTATCCTTTTTTTGAAACTTTTGAAACTTTTTTTTACATCAGTCAATAATTTTTTTTTAGTTGGCCAAAAAAAAAGAGAAACTAAAAAAGAATGAACATTTTTCGAAGTAGCAATTTGTAAATATAAAACTTATTCTATTTACCTATTTACCTTTTTGTTTGTTAATTTTTTTTCATTACTATATGAAAAAATGATGAACCATAAATCATCATCATCATCATCATTAATATTCAAATGACATAATAATCATTTTTTTCAATCTCGAAAAAAATTCTTTTTCAGGTTCTTGTCAATTGAATTGTGTATAGGTCAAGTATAATTTCAATTTAAATTCGTTTTTTTCTGGTTCATTGATATGTATCATTATTGATTGTGATGATTGAATGATAATGTCATAATCATTTTACTTTTATTTGATGTATGACGAAATATCAATTGATAAATTTATTGATAAAAAAAAAGAGAAGATATTGATGAGAAACAAACAAACAAACAAATAAATCAAATATTTATCAATTTGATTGGCGATTTTTTGTTTGTTTCGTTTGAAAAATGATGATTCAATCGAACAACATGATATCATTTATCTGAGAAACAAAAAAAAAATCCTGTCAAACCGGATGATGATGTTAGATGGGATTTTTTTTCACTTTCTATCCTTGTTTTTATGTTGTTGTTTTTGTTTTTACTTAAAATGCTAAATGCTAAATTAATCAATAATTATTTTGTTTTCTGTTTTATAATGAGAATTTGAAATGAGAGAGTGAGAGAGAGAGAGAGAAGAAGAAGAAATAGAAGTAAAAACCGTTTCGTTTATTTCGGGACATAGGAAGTGATCCCTTTTTTTTTACATCATCGAATACAACATCAGAAGTAACAACATAGAGTAATAACAATTTATTGATTGATTATATTTGATTTGATTATATTTTTTTGTAACCAAACCTATAATATTTAGACGATAATAATAATAATAATCATGAAATACACATATAAACATGACCGGATATCATGAAAAAAATTTCAATTCAATTATCGATCAGGATATATGTTTATGTATTTTGAATCGATAATGGATTTTTTATTTTTGCTTGCTTGCTTGCTTGCTTATTACCACCTGTCTTATAGTCTGTGTATTACATATATTTTTTTGGGTTTTTTTTCTGGAACGAGTCATTTACGATAGCTCATCCCCCACTCCATCTTTCCGTAACAAAAATTGACATTTTGTTTCTTTCAATTCAATTCATATTATTAGGGTTTATGTTTTGTTCATGTTTCTGTTTCTGTTGTTGTTGATTCAATTTTCGATGTTATCTAATGAAATATTTTTTTTGTTTTGTTTTGCATATTTGTACGAGATAGGCTAATGATTATTACCATTTTTTAAACAGTTATCAGTTTTTACAGTTTGATTTTTGGTATAATTTTTAACATTTTAAGAAATATTATAGATAAAATACCAGGTTAGTTGACTATTTTTTTTTGTCCACATTTTTTGCTAATTGGTTTTTGTTTTCTGCCTAAAAGTCAAATGAACACATACAGATAGAAATGACAAAAACAAAAACGAAATTTCCAAAGATAAATAATTTGTGTTCTCCATAATGAACGTTTGAGGATAATTGATGATTATTAAATTTAGATAAATATGATTATTATTATGAAATAAAATGTCAAAACTTAAGGTTTATTTTTCAAATATGTTTTAATTGTTTATTATCTTTTTTTTTGTTCGCTGTTTAGCTCTCTTTACTTTTACTTTTCTTTTGTTTTGTTTTTTAAAGAAAGCAAAAAAATCCAACATTCCAGTTTGCACGTGTTTTTCTTTTTGCTTCATCCAAAAAAAAAAAATCCATCAATCGTATGATGTAAAATATGACCATGACATCCTCATCATCATCAATGATGAAAAATTTATTATTATTGATTAACAAGGGTGGCAAGGTATAATTGTATAATGATGTGTATAATACTTGGGACATTTTGTTTTAAATATTTTAATATTTAAATATTTTTTATTGATTGCATCAATAATATCTTACTTGATTCATCTTGTTTCAAAAAAAAAAATTATTAATTTTAATGATGATAATAATGATTACTAAACCTAATTAGATAATGTATTTATTAATTAAACAAAAAAATCTGTAATCATTATCGTTATCAATTTTTTACAAAATTTTTTCGCGCTATCAAAACAGTATTGTGAATGTCATCCCTAAATGGGAAAACAAAAATCATCAATTTTTGTCCATGAATGGATTCATATTCTATTTACAACAAACAACAACAACAATAACAAAAGAAAATTTGAACTAATTCAAATTGTCATTGAATTTGGATTAGATTTTTTTTTCTTTGGCTCCAAACAAACAAACAAAAAACATTAATAAAATAATTATATCAATGTTACAGCATACAGATAAAGAATGAGCAAAGAAAATCGATTTTTATGTTGTTGTTGTTGAATTTTTCTATCGAATCCATTTTTACATCTACATATATTTCTTTTCCTTATTTTGATTTTCTTCTTATTCTTTTAATCATTTTTTTTTATATCATCTTAAAGTAACATGATGATTTACAATGACAACAAGTGTATATAATTTACATTTTTTTTTGTTGTATTTAGCTAATCAATGATTGATGGCAATGAAAAATACGACGATAATAATAATAATGATTAGGATGACAATAATAATAATAATAATGAATAAACAAACAAACAAACAGATTGAATCAATGAAAAATTCAATGACTTTTTTTGTGTGTGTGCGTGTTGCGAATCGAACAATGATCCCGATTATCATCAATTATGAATCGATATATATTCAAAAAGTGTTACATTCTCATTACATTTGAAAAATGAAGGCGTTTTTTCTTCTTCTTTCGTCCTGAATCTCGCTTTTCCTGACAATCCGATCATGAACAATCAGATGCATAATTATTAATGATGATGATGATGATGAGGATTTTGTATGATATGATTTTCTGTTGTTGTTTGCGAACATCAATGACTTTTTTTTTATTATCATATAATTTAAGTTTCTTCTGGATTTGTTTTGTATTTCACGTAGACAAAAACAACTCGAATGATGTTGTTGTTCGCGCGCAAAACTGATATTTCTTTTTTTATGATAATTTTATTAATGAAATTTTTGTTGTTTTTGTTGAAACAACAACACATTTTTTTTGCTTGTAATTTTTCAATTATTTTTTTTTTGTTGATGATATTGAATCAAGTATTTTATTTCAAGGTCTATGGATCTATCAAGCCATCAATTTGCCATTTTTTTTATATTATTAGATTCTTCATTGCCTTTCTATGTGTTTCTACTTGAACTGATTGATTGATTGATTGATTGATTGATTTTGTTTTATTCAGGAGAAAAAATCAGTGTTTTTTTTTGTTCAATTGTTTTCTTGATTTTCTTGACCATGTTTGATGACAAATTCTTATTTGAAAACAATAATTTTTTTTTTGAAATTTTGATTCCAAGAAACTAAAAAAAATCTTGGATTTTTTTGGGAATACAAACAAATTAAAATTTTAGAATGCTAAAATCATCAAGGTTTTTATTTCGTACATGAATTGTAAACATAAAATTAAATAGATGTTTTAATGAATCAATTTCAAATTAAAAACAAAAAAAAAATCCTATGATTCAAAGATTTATTTTAAGATGATTGAAGATCATGATTTACAAAACGTTTTAATCTTGTTACATATGATTCAAATGTATAAAGATCATCATGACCACCACCATCGATCCATAATGGATTAACTGGATTTGGACATTTTTCAAATAATTTTCTTGCATGTGAAATAGGTACAACACGATCACGAGTACCATGCATAAATAGAACAGGTGCTTCCACCTGTACAATCATTTCGATACTATAAAAATGAAAATGTTTTTAAAATTAGTTCTTTTTTCGATATAAAAATAAAAGATATTTACTTTCGAAAAACATCATAATCTGGACATTTATTAGATGATTGTCCGGGCATATAAAGTTTTGCCATCGATATGAATGGTGAATGTAGAATAATACCTTTAACTTGACGATGTGTACTTGCCAGATATAATGTTGGTCCAGTACCAAGACTTTGTCCATAAATAATAATCTGTTGTGGTTGTAAACGATATTTATTAATCAATAATTTCCATACTGTTTCAGCATCAGAATAGACAATTTTTTCAGTTGGACGTCCATTACTTTGTCCATAACCAGAATAATCATAAACAAATATATTACAATCAAGACGTTTAGCTAATGTATAAAGAAAATTACAAATTTTTCCCAAATCAACTGTACCACCATGATTAAATAATATTGTATATTTAGGTTGTTGTATTGGTCGTAACATTAAACAAGCAATATCATTACCACTATCAGATTTTTGTATAAATGCATCACAATGTTGTCGATAACGATGACAATTTGAATAATCATTACCATATTTTAAACGTATATCATAACGACTTGATACTGGATCAAATTCTAATGTATATGATTGTTCGGGTATTGTTTTCAAAAATATCGACATACATGTATCGAATAGATTACGAAAAATTGACATTTTTTTTGAAAGTTTAAATTATCTGATTCAATTAATTAATCAATAAGTCAAAATAGCAGATTATTATTATTCCTGTAAATAATGATGAAAAAAAACAAAAAAAACAGTTAGGTATTACATTAATTTTATTTTAAAAAAAACAAATAAACAAACTTACAGCAACAGGTTGTTGTCGAAGAAGAAGTGGTGAAAAAAATCCAAAACATTTTGCTTGAAACATAAATAAAAGTAACTTTCTTTCTTTCCTATCTATTTACAGCTATTGCTAAATGACTCAAACAAACTAGTTTTTTTTTTTTGTTGAAACAACTATATTTTTTTCGTCATTGATTTGAGGTTAATCATTTTTTTTAAAAACTGTATAAAGAAAAGAGAAAAACAAAATCAAAAAAATTACAGGCTCGATAAAACGGCCACAGGGACCAAAGACTGATAACACTGATAACACTGATTACATCAGTTATTGTAAAATAATTTGTTGATTACCTTGTGAATACATTTCATGAATCGTATGACGATGTTCATATTCGAATTGAAATGAAATTAATATGGCCTCGATATTTTTCCTTTCTTTTCTTTTCTTAGTTTAAATCTTGAATTTCAATTAATACACGTTTCATTTTAACGATTTAGCTGGTTAACAATGATAATTTCTTTCACACACACAATATATTCATTTGATCTGATCATCAAGGATTCGAGTTTTTTTTTCACTCACTCTCACATTTCGATTACATTAATCGATTAATTTTAAAATTATTATCGATTTTGTTTTTGTTTCAATGAAAAAAAAATGAATGATTTTGAATTTTGTCACATATCAGTTATCCATTCTAAATTGATTGTGTATTTTGCATAAACATCATCCGATTAGATGATGTTTGTTTGTGCGAATTTTTTTTTTCTTTTCATTTCAGCCAGACGCTACTCTCGGTAAATAAATTCAGAGAAAAAAAAACAGGAATTTATTAATTACATGTAATTGCACCTGAATGAATCATCAACCTGAATTTTTTTTTTTGAATTATATTAGAGAAAAAAATTAACTTTCAACATATAAACCTAGCATTTTTACATGTATCATTATTTTGTTATTGTTTTGTTTGGTTCACAAAAACACACACACAAAAAATATATAGGATGCTTTCAGTGGCTTTTATTTTTTGTCGCAATGTTTTTCTGTCTTACCCAAAGTGTGTGTGTGTGTTACACTTGACGATTTTTTTTTCTTTGGCTGTTGAATAATAATAATAATAATAATAATGATGGTGATGGTCTTTCGGGATGGACGAAATAATGACTTTTTTTTTGCTTTGCTTTGGATAAAATAGTATCACTGTCATCACACACACACACCACAGACATATATCGGGGGTATAGGTTTACCTTGTTGTTATTTTGAATTGGTTGGTCAATGGTTTTTTGTTTCTTCTTACCATGGTTGGTTGGTTAGTTGCACCCAAAATGTTTTGTTGTTGAATGATATACATCATGAAACAAAACAATCATCACCCATCAACAATCCGACAATCATCATCATCATCATAGAAAAAATCTTTTCCCATCATCATTTTCGATTTTTCATTTGTTTATCCAAAAAAATGTTTTTTAGAAATAGAAATTTAAAATTCTAATTTCTTCTGTTTTTTTTCTTCTTCTTCTTCAATAATAACAATCCATCAATCAATGAAGAAAAAAATCAATCAATCAATCACAACAAATCGAACGCCTCCTTTCTTCCTTGACATCCCCCTCTTTTGCCAAACATTATTTTTATCAACACCATCATCAACAGTTTTGTTTTGTCGATTGAAAATTGATAAATTTATAGAATCAATGCACTGTGTTGTGTGTGTGTTTGTGAGTGTATATGTCTACAAAAATCTTCTGGTGTTCAATAATCATTTTGGTGTTTTTCTTTTTCTCCCTTTTTTTCAGCTGAATTATCACATCGGATTTTTTTTCATACCCTTACAAAAAAAAATTATGCCAAACAACGATGCAATCATCCCAACAAAAACAACAACAATAAGAATATTATGATTGAATTTTTGTGGTAAATAAATATTTTCATTTATGTTTATATTCTGTATTTGATTGTTTTTTATTTGTTTGAATTCTTGTAGATATACACAAAAATTTATCTAGGATTGAAATTTTCTTTTTTTTACATCGATCATCATCATCATTGTCACATCAAGATGACTGATAAACTAGCCGAATATTTTGTTGTTGTTGGTTTTGATCATCAAAAACAACGTATGAATATATTTTATTTTGAATTTCGTTTTGGATTGTTTTTAATTAAAAATTCTGTTTGTTTTTTTGTTTAAAGGAGGAGGTTGTAGTGTTGGAAAAGTGATACAAGGTTTTCCCGAAAAACAATGGAATGAATCGCCATTTGTTGATTCGATTCCTATGGTAATTAATTATTTATTGGATCATAATAAAGAAATTTATAAAAAATTCATTATTTTTATTTTAATAATAATAATAGTTTTGTCAACCACAATCATGGCGTTTATCCACACAACAACAACAGCCAAAATTTTCCATATTCGTTCTTACTGATGAATTAGCTGTACAATATTATTGTGCATGTTTTACGTTCCATGAACCAATATCGATACATCCTGTCAAACATGATGATGAAGATGTTGATGATGAATCATTAAGTTCGATTGATCTTTCCTATCCGGCTTCGGCTACAATATCTGCCAATCATCTATTTAGTGGTAATCATCATCATTCAAATTCGATTGTAAAAGGAAATTATGTACCGATTGGACATCCAACAACGGCCACTAGAAATATTGCTATTCATCAAATGGCCTATGCACCGAAATGTTTATTATTAATTTCTCGACATAATTATCCGGAAATATTGAAAAATTGTCTTACTGTTATTTACACTGTTTATATTGATAATATTGATGTTGAATTAGAATTATTGATAACAAATCTATTAGCATCGATTGAAATACCAAAACCTGGATCAAAATCTATAACATTTTCATTGGGCGCTATGGATAGGCAACTATTACAGCCACCATTATCATCAACAATACCAATTACCTCGACCTGTGTTCTTGATCTATTTGATCAATTGAAAATACATGCAACCATTAATCTGGTCATTGCATTGATGACTGAAAATAAAATTATAGTCCTTTCACGTTCATATACTCAAATTTATAATGCTTGTCATGCACTCATTTCATTGATTTATCCATTTGTCTATAGCCATGTATTTATACCAATTCTACCATCATCGTTATTAGATTTTATCGCTTCACCAACACCATTTTTAATGGGCATACATTCATCATTAAAAAGTCAGGCTATCGAAACTGTAAGTGTTATATAAATTAATAAATCGATTCGTAAAATATAATTTTAAATCACTTTTAGATCGATGTCATTGTTGTTGATCTTGATGAAGGTCATGTAAAAATACCTGATGGATTACTCATAACAAAATTTGATGAAAATCTTTACGCTCAATTAACCAATCAATTATGCCTTGTATTGAATCCAGATTTATTTCAAGCGGATAATGCATTTCCAACTAGTCATTCGCAAAAATCACCACCACATATACTTGATAAAGAGATACGGGCCATATTTTTACGTGTTTTTACACAATTACTACAAGGATATCGTTCTTGTTTAACCGTCTTTCGAATCTATTCAAAACCAATCATTACATTCAACAAGGTAAATTTGTTTTTTAAAATTTTTAATTTAAGTAAAATTTTAATTTCTCATTTTTCAATAGGCATCTTTCTTGAGCCAAAGAAATTATATTAATAATGAATTTGTTCACCGTTTAATGGATTGTACATTTTTTGCAACATTCGTTCAGGAACGTGGAATACCCTATAGACCTTGTGATTTATTTGATGAGGTAAATATATTTTGTTTGCCAATAATGTTATAGTGTTTGTTTTTGACAAAAATTAAATTTTTTCTGTCTTTCTTATTTAGCTATATTCATCATTGCATAATTTTATCAAAGAAGAAATTAAAAATCCTGATCTAACCTTGAAACATATCCACGAATTAGCCATACAGATTTATTTGAATGAAAATCCACAAGCAGCAGCAAGTCCATCGAATTCGAATAGCCAAATGCAAATGACAAAAATACCTATGCCAACCGAAAATGCATTCACTCGTATTCATTTACCTAGCTTTCCATTGCTTAATGCTGAACGTATATCTGAACTACTTGAAAATGAACGTATCAAACGAGAACTTCATCCATCACGAAAAGAATTAATAAAAAATCCACAAATTCCACATATTGTTCCGATGGGACTACCCATTCCATTGTACAATGAAATGATCGGTATCCAAAGTATTAGTTCAAATTCAGCACGACGATTAGAAGTGATGCGTAAATGTATCAATTCAATATTTGAGAAAAAAATTCTTGATGCAAGAAAAACATTAAACGCTGTGATACTAGCATTACGTACGAAACATGCACGATTAGCATTATGTGAAGAATTGAACAATCATGTTGTTGGTAACAAAGCAATTCTGGAACATGAACAATTTGATCTAGTTGTACGATTAATGAATTGTGCCTTGCAAGAAAACAGTGAAATTGATATTAATGAAATTGCCGCTCAAATCGTACCATTAGCAATGAAATTTTGTCGACGTTTATCAACAAATGTTATACAGTTTGCCTATACCTGCATACAAGATCATTTAATTTGGTCCAATCAACAATTTTGGGAACAAACTTTTTATTTAGATGTTGAACGTGATATCAAAAATCTTTATCATAATAATAATAGCCGAACAAATTTCGAAAAATTAGATATAGATATTTCAAAACAATTTTCCGATTTTATTTTAAAAGATTCTGCATTAGAGATTGCTGCACAACAGATGCGTATTGCCGATAAACTTGATCAAAATCGTATTGAACATTTTTCTCAACAAGAAAGCGCTACAATCTATGCACAAGCTGTCCATTATGCTAATATAATTGTTGCATTCAAAATACCATTCGATATTTCGGATAGAAATTCTGCACAGTTAAATAATTCAAAACATTCTAATGATGATACTGATACGAATTCGGTATCGAATTATACTAATCCATCGAATCCATATGATAATGAACCAATTATTAATGATAATGAATCCGGTTTTGAAGAAGATTCCAATACTTCACCAAATAATCATTCAAGTTCAGAAATTGCAAACAATGTCATCAAATTTATTTATCGTTTTATTGATAAAGTTTGTAATGATTCGGCTGTTGGTGAAGATTTTATCAAACAATTACATGGTCTGATACCAAGTTTAGTTTCTATTCAAATTGAAAGTCTTGAACCTGTATGGCGTGAATCAAGACATTTACCACCATTACCTAAACCGAAAATCTTATTCCCACATACACTGCCTGGTGAAGAATTTACAACAAATGAATTGAGAGCTTATCTAATCACTGATGGTAAAGATGAAAGTCGAACAGGAATTGTTTTGGGAACACAATTTTTACCCGCTGAAGGTGCCATATTTTTAACCAATTATCGTGTCATATTCAAAGGACGTCCATTAGATCCATTTGCATCGGAATCAATTATTGTCCGTAGTTTTCCTATTGCTACAATACTCAAAGAAAAACGTATCAATATTAATCCTATACCTTCGTTAGATCAATATCTACCCGAAGGTCTTCAAATCAAATCGAATACATTTCAATTAATCAAAATTGCTTTGGATGAAGAAGTATCCAATGATAAGATTGAAGTTTTTCGAAAAATTCTTAATCGTGAACGTGCACCACCAACCATATTTCATCATTTTACCTTTACATCACAGCTTGGCGTACTACATACAAAACAATTATTTCAAAGAAAAAATAAGGAAAAGAAAACCATACATGGTATGGCTAAGAAAACATTATTACGTACTGTTGAGAAAGCCGGATTAAAAACAAAAAATGTTAAAACTGGCAAAAATAATAAACAAATGATGATGAATAATTATTATACAATGTATCCGAATTCTGTCGGTATACAACAATCATCAAAATATTTTCCTGATGATAAAAGTCTAGATGAATCGATATCAAATTCGATTGATAATCTTTCGAATGTTCATCTGACCAAAACATCAACATTTCAAGCACCGGAAAATAAATCCTGTCATAAACTTCATGAAATGCTTTATGTTAAAGATTATGAACGTCTTGGATTTGGTAATTATAGTCAATTATATTTAATGTCAGTGACTGGATCAAAATTGCCAAAATTGCAATCAACAACCGGACAACAAAATAGTGATCATTTTCGAATATCATCAGTAAATATGCATTATTCTGTTTGTCGAACATATCCAGGAATGATTGTCGTACCGGCACGTATTACGGATGAAATGATTAAAAAAATTTCTCGTTGTTATCGGCAAGGCCGATTCCCGGCTATCGTCTGGAAACATCCACGAACTAGAGCATTAATTTTACGATCAAGCGCACCGCATATTCGAAGTGTAATGGGTTTGTTCAAAACAACACCTGGTGGTAATTCTAACCTGGCCAATTCATCAACGCCACAAATTTTTTCGGGCACAAATTTTAATTCAGAAATTCACGTTGAACTTGAAAATTTTCTTAAAACAATATCAAAACTTTCATTATCACAATCACGTTATAGTTATATGCAAAGAATGTCCGATATCGATAATTCTAGTGTTCATTCAAATTCACCAGATTCTTATCGAAAATTTTTACAACCAACATCACAGATGTCCGGTAGTAATCTAGCACAAAAATCTAATGTATCTGGTAGTACGTTTAATCGAGCAATGAATACAATTCGAACATCAGGAGGAAAATCTACCATTGGACATACAATGGGTCGACAATTGCAGAAATGGTCTAATCAAGCGATGGGTCGTAATTCAGATCAACGAAAAAGTTCAATCAATTCGATTTCAAATCAACCGATAAAACGACCAGCATTATCCGAATCAAATGAATTATTTCAAGCATTCAATTCACCAAATTCATCATCAGTTAGTTCAACATCATTAAATCAATATCATTCACCATTGTATATAATTGGTGAAAAGAATAATAATATGCGTTTCATTAAAATGAATGAACAAAATAGTTCATATGATTTTCTACCGATTGAAATTCATGATGTACGTCATGTGAAAAATAGTTTCAAAAAAGTTATTAAACTTTGCATATCATCCGAAGTAAAAATGGCTGAAAATCCAATGACTAGTACATTTCTGAAAGATTTCTATGCAACCGATTGGTTTAAACAGATACAAACAATTATGGAGATTGCTGCATTAATTGTTGAAATTGTCGATGTACGACGATCATCTGTACTATTAAGTTTGGAAGATGGTTCTGATCTTGTACCGCAAATCATTTCTGTCGCTCAACTTTGTCTAGATCCTTATTATCGTACATTTGAAGGATTTCGTACGTTAATTGAAAAAGAATGGCTTACTTTTGGTCATCGTTTTACACATCGTTCAAATCTGACCGCATCAACCATATCATCCGGTTTTGCACCAATGTTTCTACAATTTTTGGATATTGTCCATCAGATACATTCCCAATTTCCATTATCATTCGAATTTAATCAATATTTTATTAAATTTTTGGCCTATCATCATCTGTCCTGTCGTTTTCGTACATTCCTACAAGACTGTGAATTAGATAGATCTGAATGTGGTTGGATTGAAGATGATATAAAATTAAATTTAACACTGAAAAAATTAATGACCGAAGAAGATGATGAAAATGATGATTCACCAGCAGAATCGTTGAGCAATAATACAACAACACCATCAATGTCGAATTCAAGTCCTAATAAAAATTCAACATTAATTGCATTCAATTGTACTGGAACATCATTCTGGGATTATTGTACAAGAATTTGGGTAAAATCACCGATTTTCTATAATTTCTATTATGTACCTATTATAAGTATTGAAGAAAGTTTCACTGATGCAGCCGTATTACGGCCATTGTTTAATCTACCTTCATTACGAATCTGGGATTATTATGTGGGTGAAGAGTTAGCACATGGTCCTAGCTATGATCTAGAAGTAATGAATATGGAACGTCATCGTACTGAAGATATGGAAATCCATAATGAAAATGAAAAATCTGGAACTCGACGTTTAATTGTCAATGCCATATATGATTCGATTGATCATGTTCTTCCTAATTGTTTCATTCAATTATTGGATCAGATAAAATTACTTGAAGGTGAAATAAATTGTACATCTCAAAAGTGGTCAAAAATTTGGAACAAAATTGAAATTCCAATCACAACCGATATTGAATCTGTATTTATTTCACAACAAAAACGTCTAAAAGAATTACGATCACCATCAATGAAATTACCATTAGATGCTATGACATCATATTCCATTGGATTGATTGATTCAAATTTATTTTTGAAAATGAAATCTCATTCACCTCATATATTCGAAACATTTTCGGCTCCATTAGCTAAATGTGATTATTGTGCCCTATTGATTGGTATACGTAGTGGATTAAAATGTTCAGAATGTGATATTGTTTGCCATGAAAATTGTCGTGATTGTATAACCAATCATTGTAATCGTATGCGATCAAAAATGAAAACTATTTCTGCTTCATCGAAAATGGCCATTTCTAATTCAAATAAAGTGACCTCTACTAACAACACCACCACCGCCACCAACATCGCTAATAATAACACCACTGTTGTCGTTACTAATCATTCTGGCCAATCAAATACATTGAATAAACAATTTAGTGGTGAAACAACACGATCGGATAGTGATAGTGATGATGTTGATCCTTCGTCGATTGAATTTCGCCATCCAGATATGTCAACATTACCTGGTCGTTCACAAAATAATCGTCATAATCATCAACAACGTGATAATAGTACATTTAAAGGTTATCTTTTCAAAAAAGGTGCCTTATTGAAAGCATGGAAACAACGATGGTTTGTATTAGATACGACACAACATCAGGTATGATTTCAATCAGGTTTCAATTTTAAATTAAAATTTATTTATTTTTAAAAATACAGTTGCGATATTATGATTCCGAATCGGATATCAATTGTAAAGGTTATATTGATCTCAGCGATGTCATATCAGTGATGTCAACCAATGATCCACTTGTATTCGAGGTAATTATTCTTCTATTATCAATTGTTTTAATAATGATTTATTAATCCGATTATATTAGCTACAATTGACCAAACGAATATATAATTTTATGGCCATCGATGAAAAAGTTGCACATGATTGGATCGAACGTATTAGTGCCTGTTTACAATAATTGATTATTAACTCATACAAATGCTAAAAAATCAACAACAACGAAAAATAAAAAATTCCATTGTACATTGCTAATGATTTTTTTAAAAAAATATATTCACAATAATAGGATAAAATTTGTTGTTTTGTTAATTTTCATTCAAATTGTTTACAAACAAAAAATTGTTTAAATAACTATGTAATGGATAAAAATTGATGTGAATCATTCGATGTCAATTTGTTTCAGTTTTTCTTTTGATAATACTGTTATTTCTCATACGCATATGATATCAAATTATGTTTTTTTTTCATTTTTCTTATAAAATTTAATTAAAAAATTTTTATTAAAAATCAAAATTTAATATTTGATTACTTAAAAACAAAATTTATACGTTACAAGTTATCTATGTTGATAAATGTTGATAATATTTGTCCACATTTTCGTTTTGATTATATTTATCTGACTTTCTTTGGATACAATCAGATAAATAATAATTTTCTTTTTTAGATAGAATAAAACTAACATTACGGCAAAAACCATCAACAACAAAAAATAAATCCCACAATTAGTTTTGGGTTGCGTCGAACAAAATGAATGAAGATCATAAATTTTATTTTCAATTATTCTCGATTCGAGATGTGGATGTTTTGTGAGTATTTAAAATTGTAATTTTTTCTTTTACTAAATTTATTTCCATTAGACAAATATGGAAACAATTGGCCACCAAAAAAAAGATCAAAACTAAGGATGTGAAAAAATTTTTGGATGTAATTATGCTCAATCAAGAAGATCTTTGTAAACGTGAAATTATTCGAGGATTTTTCGAGGAAATGTTACGACAAAATTTATTCGAATGTAAAGTTTATAGTTTTGGATCGACAACAAGTGGTCTTAGTCTATATGATTCTGATATTGACTTTCATGTAAGATTATATCTTCCAAATGGTAAAATTCGTCGTCTAAACAAACAAGAATCTAAAGCGCCTTTGATGGAAATGAGAAAAATTTTTCGATCAAAACTTAATCATTATTTTTCTACATTATTCATTGATGCATCATGTCCGATTATTAAATTGAATTCGAATAGAAATCGAATCAATCGTAAAATGTTCACCTGTGATCTAAATGTAACCAATCCATTTGGCATCTATAATTCAATATTTTTAAGTTTTCTTTGCGAATTTTGTCCAAAATTTCAAATGGTTGCCGTATTGTTACGTTTATGGGCAAAATGTAATGATCTAATTTGTTTTTCATCAATGAATTCATATACGTTTACAATGTTGGTTTTATTCTTTTTTCAAAATGAAAAAATATTATTACCATTCGAACAACTTGGTATCAATTTTAGTGACTATTTTTTTGAAACAGATCCAGATACATTTAAACAATTGATTCGTGACAAATGTAAAGCATTAGTTTGTGAAACTGAACTTTCGATTTTTGATTTATTACGAAGATTTTTTGTTTTTTATGCAAAATTTGATTATTATCAATTTGTTATCAGTACTCGATTGGGCAGACCGATTCGAAAGAATGAATTTATCGATATTATTGTCGATGGTGGTTATGATTTTACAATGAATAATACATTGTGCGTAGAAGATCCATTCGAATTGGAAAGAAACATTTCGAAAAATATCAAATTTATTAAAATCATTCAATTTGTTCAACAATGTGAAGAATTACGAAAAAAAGATAATAATTATTTTCGTGATGGACAGAATTTTTTCAAATTTATTACTAAAAAACGTTTTAATGAATATCGTACACCAGCATTGATTAATCCATGCCTATGTTGTATTAAATCAGTGTTAGAATCAAATAATGAAAATTTTTTCTACAATTTTATGGTCTATTATGGTGAAAATATAATCCAAAAATTTAGAGAATTTCACTTGAATGAGAAAAATTTTTCCAATGCTGATATAAAAGGTCAAGTAATCGAAATGAATGAACATTTCGAATCATTTAAAGAATTTTTGTTACAAAACTTGTTAAAACAATTTGAAAAACCAATTTATATCACTGATTTAACAATTGAAACGACAAAAAGAATTAAAAAGAATAATGCTTCTAAATCTAGAAGAATGGCCAAGAATTTAAATCCGATTCTTCCTGGACCTAGTAATCGATTATCATCTCAATCTAATGAAATTCCAATGGAATTGGATAATGATCAATCGGAAATACTTAATGATAACAAGAAAAAACAAGTTCAAAATTTTGATCAAAATATTCCCGGACCTAGTAATCGATTACCGATTGAAGATGATGAAATTCATATGGAATTTGATGATGATCAACCAAATACATGTTGGAAAAAAACACAAGATCATGATAAAAATTTCGAATTAATAACCGAACGATTTCGTACATCATTAGTATTGATGCAGTGTGGAGAAAATTTTGGTTATTTTTCATTGCTCGGATCACCGTATAATACATCACGATTAGTTACATTTATTCAGAAAAAAATCTGTTCATGTCGACCACAACAACGTCAACGTAAACGATTTGAAGACAATAATTCAAAACAAAAAATGAAAAATAAAAAACAGCCACTGCCTTCATCTGAAAAAAACAAACAAACAAACAAACAAATGATTTGAATTTAAAATTGTCAAATTGAAATTTAATATTTAACAAAAAATAATAATTAGTCATTTTTTTGACCTTTTTTTTGTTCATTTGATAAATAAAATTTAAATTGAAAACAAATTAAATCTTCGTAATAATCTTGTTTTTTTCAATCCATATGAATATGATAATGTTGATATAATCAATAGAATTGTAGCTAAACTGGCTAAAATAATGAATATAATATCCCAACGATTTGGATGACGAACATAGATAGCCGAAAGAATGATAGCAATTAAAACAATGATTATGATCATAATCAGATATGATCTAAGCATTTTCAATTGTAATTTCGTTTTTTCACCATACCAAACGACAATAATAATACCGTATATGGCCATTATGATTATAATTAATGAAAATATAATACGTAACCATGTGACCATTTGTAATGATTCATAGCCAAGATTTTTACCAGAAATTAGGAAATAAAGTGAAAATAATATGACCAAACCATTTAGAATAATTAATAGATAACGCATTGCCGTTAATGTCATACCAATACGATCCATAACCCCACGGGCATTATCTTCGATTTGATTTTGATCGACCATATTTTTTTTTCTTGATGATAATAATTTTGTCTTCAACAATTACAACAACAACAACAATGAATCATAAACGAACAATCTTTTTTTCCTGGATTTAGAATGTATTTAAAATACGGATTGCAATTGAGCATACATGTTTTATGTTATCATTGACGATGCAATCGATGAATATTGTTGTCAACAACAACAACAGCAAAAAAGACGCTTACCTTCAAACAAATAAAAATAAATTATTATCAAGTATGGCCACAATACAAAAAAATTTATCAAACATTTTTTTATATTGATTACTGCAATTCATTTGTCTAATTCAATATCTTTTTGCACATTGCAATTTAACGGAAACTTTTTTTTTGTTGATAATTCATTGGAAAAATGGTTAATTTTTTTCTTCACAGTGATTTACTGCAAATAAATTCAACAAGTTTGACCAGTGTGAAATTTTAAGAATAAAATCCATTTTTTAAATGTAACGTTATATAACAAAAAGTCCTTGGACAGATTGGACAAACACTTGTTGTGGCTCCAATTGTTGATATTTGATAAGCAAGCGTCGTTGGTTCAGTGGTAGAATGCTCGCCTGCCACGCGGGCGGCCCGGGTTCGATTCCCGGACGACGCAACACCAAGGTTGATTTTTTTTTTTTTGAATGATTATATAATACTTACATTTTTGCAAACGAAAATGATGTTAAACTTCGTTATAATCGAATAAATAAACCATGAATCTTTTTTTTTTGCTTTTAAATTTTAAAAATTATCTGATATGACTAAATTTTCAACAAATTTCGTTAAAAATTTAATTATTAAATGTTTGTAATAATTTATCCGATGAATCGATCGATACTTGACAATGATTACATTTAAAAATACCATCTTCAAATAGATTGTGTATGATACAAAAATAACAATATATATGCCGACAATTTGGAATAGCCTGAGCATTCACTGCCGGTTGATCACAGATTTGACATCGATTATTTTTCATTGGTTTTTTTACATTATTCGAATTTTGTTGTTGATCAGATTTTATCGAATGAATACGTTTAATAATCAAACGATATAATGATGTCGAAGTAATAAATGGAATCAATATGGTCAATACTTCGATCATTGCATTCCACATTAATACACGATTTAAAAATGAATGATTTAATTTTGAATCATCGAGCGATGATGTTCGTTCACCAACAATTCGTATGCCAAACAATCGTTCGTGCAAAGTTCGATATTTACCATTATAAATGAAAACATATAGATTTAACATTTCAATTGCACGATAATAAAGTAAAAACTTTTCAACAATTTTTGTCCATTTTTGATTCGTTGGATATTGATCTAATCGTTCCTGAACATATTGTAACGAATATTTAAGTAGATATGAACATTTCTGAATCAAAGATAAACCGATGCTCGACGTGGATTGATTTTTTGTCGAATAATATCGACATTGATAAATATCAAGACCAATCGATGAATTATGTGTGAATAATTTTCGATACCATAATAATAATTGAATCAATAGTTTTAATTCAGGAACATAACCATATGTTGACTGTTCAATGAAATTAAAAAAAAGGGGAATTTTTTCTCAGAAAAAATAACCTAAAAAACTTACATCAGATATAGAATTCAGATGAAAGATTACATTGTTGACAAAATAATTGTCCAATTCTGTTATATCAAGCTGTACAGCTCGTCCAACATAACGTTGATTTTTCAACGATGATGACATCTGAAATGAAATTTTTTATAAAAATTAATAAAAATTATATAATAATGTACTCTCCGTATCTGTACGAAATGATATTAAAATATTTTTATTCAAAAATTCGCTCATCAAAGAGAGATTTAGTTTAAAATAATTTTGGGAATAAAAGTGACGGTAAAATGGATAGAATTTTTCTTTTCTCTTATCATTTTCACCGCGTATTCATATTCCCGATTTTAATGGATTACAAAAAAAAGAAATAAATCTAAATTCTTACCTAAATATATTAGGAAAAACATGAATTTTTGAAGAAAAACAATCGAATAAAATGACATTCGAAAATGAGCAAGTTGAAAACGTTCGACAAAACACACGCACACAAAAAAAATTTACACCATGCAAGTATTATTGATCATTGTCTAAATCGGTGAATTCTTTATTCTTTTATACACATTCGATTCGCGAATATTCAAATTAGAGCATTATATCACACCTCCTTTTTTTTGAACAAACCACGTGTCTGTCCTAATCATAATTCTGCTTGTTTTGTATTTTTGTGTTTGAAGTAAAAGAATTTTTATTATTTTTTTCACAAGAATTCCGGTGAGTAGAATTTTGTTTTTTTAATGATACAATTTAAATTCAAAATAAAAATCCTATTTCTTAATCCATAATAACCTATTCATTTTGCCAATGTATTTGATGTAATAATCGATAATTATTTCGGGTAAATGTGATGTTGCCCAGAATATAATTACTTCATAATAACTACAACAACGATAATATAATTTTGGATTTTCATTTACAATGGCCATAATCATTGTATCGATAACCGTTTCGTAATCATTTTTTATAATCCATTTAGTCATTGAATTTGATTTATTGAGAAAACGCATATATTTTTCACCATAATTTTGTTGTATATCTTCAGATGTTTCGTTGAAGATTTTTTGTCGCATACGATCGATTGATTCATGATTGATAATTTCAGTTCGATAGAATGACGGTTCCATTGTGATTACTTTGATTTTTGACCAACCCATTTCACGACGTATAGCATCGGAAAAAACACGAACACTATGTTTAGCCATACTGTAATGTGATACTAATGGTGCTGTGATTCGTGCTTTTGGAAATCAAAAATTTAAATTACCAACAAATTAAAAAAAAGAAGAATAATTAAAACTCACCAGCTAGACTAGCTACATTGATGATTCGACCATTTGATTTGCGTAATAATGGCATACAATATTTTGTTACACGAACTAAACCAAAAACGTTAACATCGAATACTTTTTGATAAACATCAACATCATTGCCCCAATCAAATGGTACGGATATACCGATACCAGCATTGTTGACTAAAGCCCATAATGGTTTATTCGATTGTTTAATCTGTTCGATAACCATTTTTACTTCATCCGGTTTTGTTACATCCATTCGTATTGTTTTCAAACGATTCGAACATTTTTGTTGTAATTGTTTGGTACCATCACCATCAGGAAATAAAACACCAGCATAAACATAAAAACCAATTTGATCTAATCGATAAGCTAATCGATTACCAAATCCAGTATCACAACCGGTAATCAATACAATTTTACCGGTTGGATCAATCAATTTTTGATTGAATATTTCGAATAGATAATATGCTATTGTCCATGATATTATGGATATGCCGACTAAAATGCAAAAATAATTGAACCAAATTGGATTCCAAATAAACCATATTATATGTAATGGAAAAAATGTTACAAAAAAATAATGAAAAATATTATCAAATTTAATCATTTCTATTCGATGTTAACAACAACAACAACAACAATTTGATATAAGATTTCGTTGAACTTTATTGACAAAGAAAAATTTTTTTTTTCCAAAATTAATATCTTTGTGTTACAAAATGAAAGACAACTTTGAATGTTTTTTAACTTTTACAATAAGGAAAAAATGCGTTATTTTTTCTTTGTTGAAAAAAAAGAGCTAGGATAATCAAGTTATTTCGATTTATACGAATCAATAATTTTCCTTGTTTCTTTTATGACAAAAGCAACATTGTTAAATTTATTAAGAGAAACAATATTTTCATATACAATATATTTGTTGATTTTATCTTCATTGGAAAAAAATAAGCAAAACAAAAGTAAAACATAATTTGATTGAATTTAATCTAATTTTTTATCCTGATATGGTCCTGATTTTGCTTGACGTAATAATCGACGTGTATTTCTATTCAAAAGCATATCGACAAGAATTTCTGGTAAATGACTTGTACCCCATAATGTAAACAATTCATGATATGAACAACAACGATAATATGGTTTTGGATGTTCAAGAACAATACCGGCAATAATTGAATCGACTACATCATCGATTCGATCTTTTGTCATTCTTTCTATTTGTTTAGTTACTGATTTTAAATATTCAAGATGATTTTCACCATATGCTTCACGTATATCTTCAGGTGTTTCATTAAAAATTTCACGTCGTTTTCGATCAATCATTTCATAATTAACAATTTCTGTACGATAAAATGATGGTTCCATTGTAATTACTTTAATATTGGTACCGACTAATTCACGACGTAAACAATCAGAATATACACGTACACTATGTTTTGCCATACAATAATGTGATATGTTTGCGACTTGTACACGACCTAAATGTTTATTAATTCAATTTAGAAAAATGAATGAGAAATTGGTGTATAAATCACATTTTGAATATTTATTTGAAAAATTGAAATAACACTTACCAGCTAGACTAGCTACATTGATGATTCGACCATTCGATTTACGTAATAATGGCATACAATATTTTGTTACACGTACCACACCGAAAACGTTGACATCGAATATTTTTTGATAAACATCAACATCATTACCCCAATCAAATGGTGCAGAATAACCAATACCAGCATTATTGACTATTGCCCATAATGGCATACCTGATTGTTTAATCTGTTCGACAACATTTTTTACTTCATCCGGTTTTGTTACATCCATTCGTAATATTTTCAAACGATTCGAACATTTTGATTGAAGTTTTTTAGCACCATCACCATCCGGAAATAAAACACCCGCATAAACATGATAACCTAATTGATCTAATCGATATGCTGTACGATTACCGAATCCAGTATCACAACCAGTAATCAATACAATTTTACCCGATGGATCAATTGTTTCTTGATTAAACATTTCGAAAAAATAATATGCCAATGTCCATGCTATGATCGATAGAATACATAAAACGCAAAAATGATTGAACCAAATTGGATTCCAAATATACCATATTAGATATAGACAAATTAATGATGATACAAAATATCGAAATATTTGTTTTAATATTGACATTTTTTGTTGCAAATAATGTAATTGTTTATGAACAACAGAAAGAATATGCAAAAGAAAAAAAAAATTATATTTCATTTGACAGTTAAACGTTTCCGATATTTTTATACGATTTTTTTTTCTATTTATGAAAATATTTCCCTTTACACATCATTATTTTCATTCAAGAAAAAAAAAACGTTAATTTCCAATAGTTTTTTCCGATTAAATTCATATCAATCAAATTGTACCCAAATTGTCTATTTTTTTCATCATCATCACCATAAATTATCATTTGATTTTTTATCTTTTTATATATAGGGTTCATTTGAACTTGATTCAAGTACAGAAAAAAAAGGAGAAAATAATCTTACTATTATTACCAAATATAGTTTTCTTTGTTTGTTGTCGTTAATCATTTTTTTCTTTCCAATGAATTTGATAAATGTTTTTGGGTGGAATTTTTTCTTTCTTTTTCTTTTTTTTTCTGAATAGAAAATGAGTCAATTTTGTAAATGTAATGGTTATCTTATCTTACAAATAATTTTGTCAAATATTTGCGGTTGCATACATTTAAACGATATCAAATCCTTTTCTTTTTCTAGCCAAATAGATATAGAATCATATTTCATTTTTTTATTTATTTTGAATGTAAATATTTTCGATATAATCGATTATTATAAACATTTGTAAATGTATCCAATAAAATTTCAGGTAAATGTGATGAACCCCAAATTGTAAATAATTCAATAATTGTACAACAACGATAATAAATTTTTGGATGTTTACGTATAATACCATTGATCATTGAATCGATAACCAGATCAATATTATCATGTGTTATATTCATTATCAATTGATTACTTGCTTCTAAACATTTTAGATATCTTTTTCCATATGATTGTTGAATATCTAAAGGTGTTTCATCAAAAATTTTTTTACGTTGTTTATCGATTTGTTCGAAATCAACAATTCTTGTACGAAAAAATGATGGTTCAATAGTGATTACTTTGATACCGGTTCCAATTAATTCACGTCGTAATACATCGGAAAATACACGTACATTATGTTTGGTCATACAATAATGTCCCATCCATTGTGCGGGCATACGACCTATTGATGAAAATTTCAAAAAAAGAAAATGAAAAATTTATTATCTATTTTCTATAAATACAAATTATATTGAAAATATTAAACATACCAGCTGCACTAGCCACATTTATAATTCGACCTTTGGATTGACGAAGTAATGTGATAAAATTTTTTGTTACACGAACTACACCGAAAACATTTACATCAAATATTTTCTGATAAACATCAATATCTTTACCCCAATCAAATGGTACCGATATTGCAATACCAGCATTATTGACTAAAGCCCATAATGGTTTGCCCGATTGTTTGATCTGTTCGACAATATTTTCCACTTCTTTCGATTTCGTAACATCCATTTTGATTATTTTCAAACGTTTTGAACATTTTTGTTGTATTTGTCGTACGCCATCACTATCGATGTTTAAAACACCAGCATAAATATCGAATCCTAAACGATCCAATTTTTGTGCTAACAGATTACCAAAACCAGTATCACAACCGGTTATTAATACAATTTTATTCTTTGGATCAATTTGATCTTGTTCGAATAAATCATAAAGATAATAACCAATTGTCCATGATATAATCAATAGAAAACATAGTATTAGAAATTGATTTAACCAAAATGCATTTATTTGATTATATAGGAGATATATTCCAATGAATGATGGTATCACATATTTTAATAATCGAAGAAACATTTTTTTTTCTATTAAAGGTTTCGTTTCGAAATGAATTTATCACTCAGACACAGACACAGTTTCATTTATCAATGATCAAAATGAAAAATTGAAATATCAAAAATCTTTATCGTCAAATGAATAAAAAAAAATTATCAACATTCTTACCATCTTTTTATATTCGATGATTTTATCCATTTCAATCCTAGATTAATAATAATAATTTTATTCAAAAGTGAACCTCTAGAACTAGTATTATACACTAGAGGTTTCAATCTTAAATTGACTTTTTATTTTCTCACTTTGTTCATCGGGATTCTTTTTCCTATAGTTATATGTTGTTTTTTGTTGTTGTATTGAAACTCTTTTTTTTCTCTGTGTTCAACGACAATTGATGCAAGTCTTTTGCTGTATGAACAAATGAAGAACTCTCTGCTAAGCAGATTTTGATTTCGGATTGTGGTTGGAAAGAGCGATAATAAATGATCATTATTGTTGTTGACCATAACGCAATTTGATAATAATCAACTACATGATGATTATGATGATGATGGCGGTGGTGATTGTAATAAGAAAATACAAATCGTTTTTTTTTCTTTCTTTGTTCATCTTGATTCTAATTTTAGTTCCGACACACACACACACACACACACACACAAACAAACAATCAACCAACCATTGAAACACAAATAGACAGTATCAAAAATAAAAAATTTCTCTTCAAATGTTGATGATTCAAATAGAAAACATCTATTGATGATGATCATATATGAATTGTTTCGAATGATGATAATGGTTCGATAGAAAACGATTTCGAATGTTTCCAGTTGTGTATGGTCTATGTGAATGGATCCTTTTCCGTTCTTGATTCATTCGAATTCGAATTGTCTCGGATGATTTTTTTTTGTTTTGTTTTGTTTTGAAAAATGAAACATCAATCATTTTCAATTGTTTTTTCCCTTTCTATAGTTGTCTATTTATTTTCTAAAAATATAATAATTTTTTTAAAATCTGTTTGTTTCGATTTTGTTTCAAAAAAATAAACAAATATTCCCATTTCATTTTATTATTATTTCAAATTCAACTGGATTCAAACAATCAATGTGTACACACAACAAAAGACGATTAGTATTTGAATGTATCCTATTTTTTTTCTCACCTTAGTCGTTGTTTACCTTTATTTCCATCATCATCATCATCAGCAACAACCAAACAAACCAAACATCAATCATTCAAATTTTGAATTGAATATGAAAATATTTTTTTTTCTCGAAAAAATAATGTTGAAAATTTTTGTATCTAAAAATACAAATATTGGTACAGCATCAAAATCGGTCAACAACTTTTTTTTTGCACCATAATCTTATCGAACGTGGATTTTGAATCCTAAGTTGTTTTACTTGGAAGATATTAGTCGATTGATGTCGGTGATGATAAGAAATCATTTTTTTGTCAGCTAAGCATTATCTTACAAAACTCTTTCGATTTGTAATGAAAATACCCAATATTCTTATTTTTTCATATCAATGATAATAAGTTATTGATACATTTGATCAGCATCGGATTACAAATCAAAAATTATGATAAATACCAAGGCTACCATTTTGCTTATAATTCAAATAACGCGTCGATATAAATGTATAACTGCAAACAAGGTGAACGCCATCTATTTTCAATCAAAAAAGAATCAGATTTTTTCAAAAATATTTTTATTTTTTTTTGTTCTTGGCCAGCCATGTTTTTTACCATTGATTTCTTTCATCAACATTCATCTCCAATGATAAAATACTATGTATTTTAATTTTTTTTTGTGTTTATTTTCGAAAGTTGATACAGAACACGTATGCTATAAGCTTGCACTCAAATATATACAGGTATTATATAGATCCCGGTTGGAAAAAAAACAGCATGCAAAAAAAGATCCACATTCATCACTATATATAGACATGATGTGCGTGTGTGTGTGTGTATAAGTGCATTGATTCTCGGGTTGTCAAAAAGGAAAAACAAAAATCCATTCTTTTTCATTGATTTATAGACAAGAAAAAAAAGCATGCATGTTTTTAATAAAAAAAAATTTGTTCCGTTTAACATTGACATTGACGCCGACATAGTGGCCGTATTCGTATTCACACCATCATATAAAACATTCATTTTAGATTGAATTAATATAGGAAAAAAAAAGTTTAATCATCATTTTTCATCTCATAAAAAAAAATCTCATTCCTTATCCTTGTGTTGCACCGTGTGCTTGTGTGTATGTGTGTGTGTTGAACCTGTTTTTTCCCGATCAAAAAATTATCATTTTTTTTCCATATATTTTATCAATTAATAAAATAATTAGTGGTGGTAAGTGTATCATCGATTGTTCTGATTTGATTTGATTTTATTATCATTCGTTTTTTTTCAAATTCAAAACGAAATCATTCTTTTCTTATGAAACAAAAAAAACTGATTTATTCAGAAAAAAAATCAAACCTGAAACATGATACTGTTATGTGAATTCGTATTTGCCACTTGAATTTTTTTTCTTTCATTTCTTTAATACATTTCGATTTTTTCAAATCGTCATTGAATGAATTTGATGAATTGTACATTTTTGCTTTATCAAACCCTCCACCATATCCGATCAATCGACAATAATGAGAACAAAAAAAACTTTTACTTTTTTTTAAAGACTTTTCTATTGTTGGTAATGGTGTGTATTTAACGGTTAATTTGTTGTAGAAGTTGTTTTTGTGTGATACAAATCATTCGATTTATTCGAATTATTTTTTTTTCATTTGTTCATTCAATTGAATGGAAATTTAATCAAATCAGTTAATCATTTTTTTTTTTTGCTTTGCCAAAATGGCAAATTTAAAATTTGTACGCGCTGATACTTAATATCTTCTAATTACATTTGATTTTAACCTTTGTTTTTTTTTGTATATTCATAACCATATAAATATTGGTGATATGTAATAATTTTTAATTTCTAATTTTTTTTTCGTTTTTCTTTATTTCGTTTCATTCACACATCTCATATTTCCATTTTTTTAGTTTTAGTTTTTTTTTTAAAAATTATAATTTGAATTTAGGTTTGAAAATTTGTTTGAAAAGTTTTTGAAATTTGAAAAAAAATGCCACCAAATTCATCAATTAATGTTCCAAAAAATGGTGTTATCAAACGTAATATCAATGATAATACTATTGTTGATGATAATGATGATCCAAAACAAATTGTAAGCCGTGATTATTTACGTGTTCGTTCGGAAAAAGATGATTGGAATTGTTTTGAACATATTATCTGGATGAATGTTTTCTGGTTTACATTATTGCATTCATTATCAATTTATGGAGCCTATCTATTGTTTGTTGATGCAAAATTTTACACCATTTTGTTTGGTAAATATTTTCTTTAAAAAAAATTATATTTCCCATATAAAATGATTTATTTATTCATTTATTTTATTTTATTCAAATTTTGATTAATATTTGTAGCACTTTTTACCTATAATGTTTCATTGTTCGGTATTACGGCCGGTGTACATCGTTTATGGTCACATCGTGCATATAAAGCAAGATTTCCATTACGATTATTACTTGCATTCTGTAATTCGATGGCCTATCAGAATTCAATATTTGAATGGGCTAGAGATCATCGTGTACATCATAAATATTCGGAAACAAATGCCGATCCAGTTAATATTGAACGTGGTTTCTTTTTTGCACATATTGGCTGGCTTTTATGTCGAAAACATCCGGATGTTAAAAAATTCGGTTTACGTTTAGATCTCAGTGATCTTAAATCAGATCCAGTTGTTTATTATCAGCATAAATATTATGTACCATCAGTAATTTTGATGTGTTTCCTATTACCAACAATTATTCCATGGTATTATTGGGGTGAAAATTTTTGGACAGCATTTTTTGTCTGTGCTATTCTTCGTTATGTATTGGCATTACAATCTACTTGGCTTGTTAATTCAGCTGCACATATGTTTGGCAATCGACCATATGATATTAATATTGCACCGGCTGAAAATAAGGCTGTTTCATTTTTGACTTTAGGTATTTTGTTTTTTCTATTTTGTTGTTTTTCTAAAATAATTAATTTCGATAAATCTATAGGCGAAGGATATCATAATTATCATCATGTATTTCCATGGGATTATTCTACATCCGAATGGGGATGGAATATTAATCTAACAACATTTATTTTGGATCAATTTTCACGTATTGGTTGGGCATATGATCGTCGTTTTGCAACTAAAGAAATGATACGATCAAGAAAAAGTCGTACCGGAAACACACAACATTACGAAGCTCAAGAACTTGGCTATTAGAGAAAAAAAAACAACTTTTCCATTTTATTACATTTTTTTCATTTTTCATTTGCATGAATCATTGTGTTTTTCGCATTAAACAATTTATTTTTTCTTGGAAAATGAAAGAAAAACACAGAATACCTTACAGAATATAACTAATTAGTAATTGAATATCTAATATGCGAAATTACAAATTAGAGATTAATCAAACAAAGATTCGATAATATGTTTGTATTTTTATATAATTTTTTTTCTCTCTTATTTGGTAATGGCAAAAACATTCAAACATTTTTTTACACAAAATCATTGTTATAATCTTTTAATCAAATTATATGATTGATTAAAACGAGAATTTGGTGTTAGAATTTTTTTTTCTTTTTTGATTATAAAAATGTTAGAAAAAATAAATTTTATCTTCTAAATTTTCGGTGTTAATTCTGATTGTTAATCTGGATGAACGATTCGATGAAATCCACCGATATCGATTTAATCGATAATCTGAATCATGATGATGATGATGAAATTGAAATTGCACGAAATGAACCAACATCATCTACAATCGATCCACTTGTTTATAGTGATTTTGGTGATTATAAATTCTTTTATCATCATACAGATGTCAGTATATCTCCGTCATCATCGGATATACAGACACCGAAAATCAATAATGATGACGAAAATATGAATCGATGGCGACGACAACAACAACAACAACAACAATCACCATATACACCGAAAAAACCTGTTATTAAAATAAAAAATCAAATCAAAACGACAACTACATCATCATCATCAATGGCAATTAATAAATTTCCATTAATTGATAACCATGATGATGATAATGATGATGAAATACATAAATCGAAAATTATGTTTAAAACAAAAATACGATATAGTCGTTTGGATGGAAAGGTTGTTTATCTTAATGATGATGATGATAATAATAATGAAATATTCAACGATATTTCACCAATTTTATCACCATCACCATCATCATCATCATTGAAAAATGATGACATCGATCATCAATTATCCAAACATATTCTTGATGATTATAATTTTCCATCAAAATCAATAGATTCTATTAATGATAATGATTCTGAAATTTTTCTATCACATGATCATCAACAACAAACTTTATTCATTTTGTCATCATCATCATCATCATCATCATTGGTTGACAGCATCGAAAACGACCATGATAATAATTATAATTATGATGATGATGATGATGATGACAGTATTGGTTTATCAAAAAGTTTTAGCTCATTAAACGATTATCTTCAGAATTTGTTGACAAAGCAAAAGAAGAAAAATCAACAACAACCAAACGACAACGATGATGATGATGATTGAAATAATAATAACGATGTGAAAACAAAAATGTGAAATGGGGGGATATAAAATTGAATAATAATTTTTAAAACGAAAAAAAAACTTTTAATCGTTGAAGTAAATTAATTTTATTTAAAAAAAAAAATCTTTTTTTGCACTCATCACATGGCTGATGTGTTTGTTGTTGTTGTTGCTGTTATTTGAATCTAAATCCTCATAATCAGATGATAATCAGTGGCGGTTTATGTTTTGTAAATTTCAATGTAGAATTTACAAATCGGAAATGAGTAATCCATGAACAAACAAAACACTAATTAAATCAAACAACAAAAAAAACAACAAAAATTAAGACCGGGATAATACGTTTCCGAAATTATTATTTTTCAGGGTCAACTTTATATAATCATCGTTGTTGTTGTTGTTGTTTTCTCGTTTTTACAAAATTCTTGTTTTTCGTCTTTTTTCCATTCATAATACCAATCGGATAATTTATTTTCTGAAAAAATGATTCAAATTTGAGAAAATTCATTGCGATTGCGCATTTCGAATGATCGAATTTCTTTTTTCCGAAATACAAATGTTTTTTGTTGTTGTTGTTTTACAAGAAGAGAGAAGAGAAATTTTTTTTTTCTGTTCACTTTTAATTTACAAACAGAGATTTTTTGTAAATAAGTAACGGTAATCTGTAAATCAAAAGGTAATCCTAAAACTCTATATTCGGGTTAAAAAAAAATATGTTACTTTCTCTCTCTCTTTCTCTCGCTCTCTTTCATATTCTTTCTAATTTTGGTTGCAATCATCATCATCATTATGGTTTTTTTTTGTCGGATCCTTTCTCCTTTCATAATACTTTCTCACTTTTCATCTCTACAATTGCCAATTTTCATTTATGTTTTGCTTGTATAATAATTGTTGAAATAAATGCTGCACCAAACAGCCAAAACACACACAATACAAATGGCGTGACTTTTAAATTGTTTTTTTTTTATTTTTGTATTCTGTTCATCTGTTATGTCTCTATTTTGTTTCCAATTTTTTTTACTGTAATATTTACAACGCCGACGCCAAATTTTGTAGTCGGTTATATTACCAAACATTGCAATATTCACATGTTTCTCTCTGTGTTTCTGTTGTATGTATGTTTGATTTTCAATCGGGTTGGGTTTTTTTTGTCATTGGATCACTCTATATGATCACTGGATTTTCACAAATATCCCGAAAAACATTCACAATTTTTATACTGTTGTTTAGTCAATTGAAAAACTGGATAATTTCTTTGCTTCTTCCTTTTTCTCATTCTCTTTTTATTCATCTCTTTTGCTTTCAACCATTCACCAAACGAATATTTTGGCTGACATTTTTTTCGTTTACGGTTAATGTGTTTGTGTGTCTGTGAGTTTTTTTTTTGTTTGTTTGTTTGTTTCTCTCACTCTTTTTTTTCTCCTTCTTCTTCTTCTTCGGACAAACAGCCGGTTATTTGGATTTCCTTGTTTTTTATTTGTCCCTTGTTTTTCCCGATCATCATCATCATCGGCATGCATCAATATTCATAAATCGACCGACCAATCTACAATGACCATTCCCCTAGTAACATATATTTGATTTTTTGTTTGTTTGTTTGTTGTTGTTTAATTCTAGATTTATTTTAATTTTTGTTGTTGTTGTTGTTGTTGTTCTGAATTCTTGTAATTTGAATTTTAAATTTTTTTTTCTTTAAAATTTCACTCCATTACCAGTTTGTGATCAACGATAAACACAAATCAATCAAGTTTTTATCATTAACAATTCAATTTGCATAACTTTTTTTTAAAAAAAAAATCAAATTCGTTATTAGTTTTCTTTCCAATTCGAACTTCAATTAGTTTTTTTTTCTTTTCCAATTTATAAATTATATATTTCCAAACGAAATTCACACGAAAGAAATTTTTGCTGAATAATTCTGGTGAATGTGTGTGTAAAAAACGAAAAGTTCCAATAAATTAATCGAAAAAACATAATGTGATTATCATCTATTATCGTTACAAGGAAAAATATTAATCAATCAATTATTACACCTGCAAGGTATGTAAGATTAGATTTTTTCATTTTCATTTTGGAAAATTATTTCCTGTTTCTTTCTTTCTTTCATTCATTTTTTTTCACATCCAATTACCACCAATCATCATCATCGATGATCAATGAGCATTTCAGTTGAATTGAATTATTTGTTCAACAAGTTTATTTTGATTGATCTATCTCTCTGCATGTGTGTCTTCTAGGTTTATTGACCATGGTTGGTTGGCCAAGAAACAAGAAAAATCATTTTTTTTTTAAAGTAAATTAAAAAAAATCAAATTTCATTTGCCAGTAGAGCAAACAGTGTGATGATGATGATGATCGTCTCTTCAAATGAAGAGATTTACATCGCTTGTTGTTGATGATAATGTTTGTTTTTATTTACCCCCATTTAGTTGATTTTTTTTTATATTTCAATTTTAATAATGAAAGATAACTTGATTAACTGTTGCACACACACACAGCTCATTACCGTATCCTACACTACTATAAACTAGAATGATAATTTTCATCCGGAAATTATTTTCCTTCCCTGTTCCTTCGATGATGTTGATGATGATGATGATGATAATTTTGGACATTTTAAGAAAGTGTGTGTGTATGTTTAGCAATTTCATTTCCAAGAAACAACCGAGTGTTATTTTTTGCAAATGTTTAGGAAAAAAGAAATGATTTCTGATTTTAAAAATAAAATCTTTCCAAAATGTAATTGAGTATATTATCATCATAAATTGAAAATTCTTTTGGATAAAAAGAAATTGAAAAAATTCTCGTTTTCTTTTTGGAGGTAGGAGAGAGCTTTTTTCATTTTTTTTTTTAAACTGACAAATTTTGTTTTTTTCCTGTCTCTCTCTATAGATAACAAGATATCTGATTTACTCTGATTTCTTCAATCACACACACACACACCGAAGAATCATTGAGAATTAATTGATATTTTTGTTTTTGTTTTACATCGTATCTTTATTATTGAAAAACAAAATCAATTTCAAAATGAAAATGAAAGAAATCTTATTAATTTCTCCTGTGTAAAACAGATAACAAGGTTCTCTCTCTCTTTGCATCTTATCTTGAATTGCTGTTGATTTTTTTGAAATTCAAGTTTTTCTTTATCCAAATATTATTCCGTAGTCACGTGTTTGAGTGTGTGCAAGTCATTTTATTTCTAAAAAAAAAACAAAATTCCGATATCAAAAAACAAATCAAATTAACGCTCATCAAAATTCTCGTTTTGCAAAATATGAAATCTTTTTGTTGTTGTTGTTGTTCGAATATTGATGTTTGTGTGAAAAAAAATATGACAGAACTCTCGCGTAAAGCGTGAGAGACCACGACATTTTTTTCTTTCGACAAATTCAATATCCCCGAAAATCAAATATATGTAAGTTATTAGGTCGATTTTTAAGAAATGAAAAATAGACAAAAAACATTTTTTTTGTTGTTGTTGAAAAGTCAAGTGAACAACACACAATATAGCACACATATTTCATTTGAAACTTTTCATTTGAAACAACAAAAAAAAATTATAACTGTTTTTGTTTCGTTGTTTGGTTTTTTTTAACAACTATCTACTCTGACACACACTGCTATTGTTGTTTTAATCATATCGAACCAGGCGATCGAAGAAATATTTTTGTTTTTTGTTTTCCAAATTTATGTGATTTACATATGATAATCATCAGCGACAACGAACAACCAACCAATACGACAACAATAAATTTTAACTAAAAAGAAAAATAACCAACCCCAAAATGAAAAAGGAGAGAGAGAAAGATGATAATTTTTATCTTCATGTTTCATATTGGTTCTTTATGTTTGTGTGTGTGTGTTTTCAATTAAATTCAAATGTCACTTGTTTGCTTGGATAATCATATATCAGAAAACAGCAACAACAACAACATTTGTATATGGAATTTCATTTATCATCTTGAAATTTCTTTTTCTGACAAATAAAATAAGTAGCTATTGTTTGTTTTTTTCATTTTTTCTTTTGAAATTTATGATTCAAATTCATCATTATCATCATTTATGGATATTGGCCAGCCAACAACCATCACAGTTTATTTTTTCACATTCTACTAATATCACATCACCATTTTTGTGTTGTTTGATTTTCTTGATTTTCGCTTTCGTTTTTTTTTGTTTGTTTCTTTAATTTTTCATTTGATTTTTTTTGGTTGTGCTGTGTTGTTCATCATCACCATCATCTTGTTTAAGATTTTTTTCACTTGAATTTTCAAGAGCTTCAATTTTTGTTTTTCTTTAGAACAAAAGCAAAAACAAAATTCAATTTGCTTGTCTTCCACTTGAACACAAAAAGGTAATAATTGATGATGAATAAAACTTTTCGACATTGTTTTTCATGATCATCATCATCAGTATCGATCAATTGTCTCTATTATCAATCGATTATTTCATCTTGATTGGATTGGATTGATTGATTGATTGATTGATTTAATTGTAAAGAAAGGGGTTTTTTTCTCTCTTCTATTCTGCTGCTGTTATATTTTGGTTGATAAAATGAAAAAATGTCTATTACGCTATGAAAGATGATGCCCTGGTGTAACAAATTGATTTCTGAAGAATGATGTTTGTTGTGTTGGTCTGGTAGTAGGAAATGTGTGTATTTAGTTTCAACGGCGTATATTTTTTATTATTATTATGGATGTTTGTTGTTGATTGATATGTATTGTGAGATGATTTGTATATTTCATACGATTTATGAATGAAAAAAATGATTTTGTTGTGTGTTTGTGTCTGTCAACCACCCCCATCCCATTATATTCGATATTGACAAATATTTTTTTTTCTCTTTCGTTTTTTTAGGTTTCATATTTGCGATCTGTCAAAAAAAAGGAAGAAAGTAAAGGGGTAGATCTTTGACGAACGAAAAAACAATAACCAATCGAATATTGTTGAGAAATAAAACACTCACACACACAAAATCAACAACTATGCCTATCATTCATTCTGGTGTTAAAATTCAATCGATCAATAATAATGTTATGAATTTGACGAATGGTGGTCATAATCATCACCATCATCATCATCATAATCATCATAATCGTCATCATCAACAGCAGCAGCAACAACAGCAACAAAAAAATTCTTCAAATTCAAATCGTTCACGAATGATGATGAGAAATATGATAATTCATGAACATGAACCAACTGTTTCGACAACATTATCATCATCATCAACAATGAATAATAATTGTAATAATAATACAAATTCTCATCAACAATATCAAAATAATACGAATAATCATCATCATAATACTAATAATCATTCATCAAATGGACATCATCATCATCATCACCATAATAGTAATAGTCATCAACAAAATCACCATAATAATAATTCTGTAAGCCGTAATAACCGATCTGTACCATCATCATCATTATCATTAATAATGGCTATTAATCGTTTTAAAAATTCGGTAAAAAATATGAAAGAAACAGTATTGATACCGACACGTTTAAATGATTTGGCTACATCAACAATCGATAATGATAGTACGGCAGCTGATAATCATATTGATGATCATATGGCAAATGGTTATTCAGATTCTGATTCAGATAATAATTTATCAACAGTTGATAATCAAAATAATGGTTTTGTTGTTGGTGATGGTAATCATAATGATAAAAATCATCATTCCATATTACAACGTAGTCAAACATTGCCTAATGGTGTTGGTGGTAACAATAATCTGATCCTCATCAAACAACAACAACAACAGCAAACATCGATACCACTTGGACAGCAACAAAATCTTTATGAACAATTTAAATTGTTAGAGTTGATCGATAAAATCCTATCAACTGACACTATTTTGTCATATAAGTAAGTAATGTAAAAAAAATCGTTGTTCATTTTTTTCTTATAATTTAAATTTCCTCAAATATAATCTAGTAGCCGAAATTTTTCTTCATCGATACGATCAAATACAACAAATGGTGGCTATATTGATCATCATTATCAACAGGGATATGATAAAAATAACAATCCACGACGACGATTTATTATATCGAATTTAGATGAAAATGGTGTCAAATTATTGTCAAATGAAACTTCAGGCGATGAATCGATTATCATTAAAGATGAACCAACAACAATAACTATGGAAAATAATGATGGATCATCATCAATGATTGGAAATAAACCTACTCTTATTCGTCAGTCAACAACAACAGGAAACGATATTCATAATAATGATAATAAAAGTCGAAGTAATAGTCCCGATATTAGTAACGGTTCATGTAATGGCCAAATGAAAATCAATATGAATGATTCAAACAGTCAATATGGTACACCAATTATAACCGATTGTTCATTATTGAAAATCAAAGAAAAACTGGAATATCATTTAATTTGTTTGAAAAGTATATTGAATATGATGAGCGATGGAGCCGAATTAATAACACATACTTATTTGGAAGATATACAATCGGGTGAAGATCGTTTTGATCAATCATTACTTGGGGGTAATAATAACCAAAATGGTTCGAATATTAGTGGTGGCGGTGGTTTATCATCAATAATCGATGGACAATTAGATTCAATGATTACACCACGTCATTATTATACAAGTAATTAAACAATGCAATATTCGATCATGGTCACACATTGATTGATCAATCAATCAATCAATTCGATGGTCACAAAATATAATGATTATTCCTATTTAATTTGATGTCTGATTCATTCAAATGAAATAGATTTTAAACAAATTATGATGATGATATCTAATTAATTGTATTTTTCTTAAATTAAAATGAATGTTTGTCGAAATTTAATTTTAAAAAAATTGTATTGTTTTTGTCGAAAATATAAATTTCAAATAAATAACTAAAAAAATATTAATAAATTGAATTTTATTTTCAAAATATTGAGCAACATGTATTTGATGTGTTAACATCGAAAACCATTTGGATTTTTTGACTGCCAATTCCAAGTGGATGAACACATATCATTGATATTTTTTTTCGCTACCCAACCAAGACGTTTTTTGGCAAGATTAACATTGGCATATAATGTGGCTAAATCTCCTGATCGTCTTTCGACAATTTTATATGGAATTTTAATGCCAGTAGATTTTTCAAATGATTCAATCATCTATGGGTGGAATTGATAATAAGAAAAATTATAATTAGATATGTTAAAGTCATACGCTTGCCTGTAAAACAGAAGTTCCAGAACCGGTGCCCAAATTAATTGGATTATAACCGGACCAATTTTTGGGCGATGATAACATATGTTTCAAAGCAACAATATGTCCATTAGATAGATCATCAATATGGATATAATCACGTACACCTGTACCATCAACGGTAGGATAATCATTACCGAATACATTTAAATGTGTTCGAACTTTGACAGCCACCTGACTAATATAAGGCATTAGATTATTTGGTATATCGTTTGGATCTTCACCAATCAATCCAGATTTATGAGCACCAACCGGATTAAAATAACGTAATGATATCACTGACCATTCTGGATTGATATGACAAATATCTTTAAGAATTTGTTCAACCATACATTTACTACGGCCATATGGATTTGTACATTTAATACCGATTGGATGTGATTCATCCAATGGTAGATATTGTGGTTCACCATATACAGTTGCTGAAGATGAAAATATAAATTTTTTAACACCATATTTTTCCATAGCTGTTAACAGTGTAATCGATCCGCCAACATTACTACGATAATATCGTAATGGTTGTTGAACTGATTCGGCTACAGATTTTAATGCAGCAAAATGTAAAACAACATCGATCGGACTATTTTCGGTAAATATTTTATCCAATAATTCGGCATTTTCGGTTGAACCACAATAAAATTTACTAATCTGTTTACCGGTTATCTGTTGAACTCGTCGTAAACTTTCTGGTAATGATTGACCATTCAAACAGACAGAATTGACAAGATTATCGATTACAATTACAGTAAAATTATTTTCCAATAATTCAACAACACAATGTGATCCAATATATCCTGAACCACCGGTAATTAAAACTTTAGCAACCATTATACAAACTTACAATGAAACACCAAAATAACAAAGTTAATGAAATTAAAATGAAAAACAAACCGAACAAAATAAAAACCAAAACAAAAATGGTTCGACTCGATCGAATTGATGGAGCTTACAAACAGAGTAGGCTTCAACTATTAAATTATTATATAGAACCATCAAATTGTTGAATAAATAAATAAATATATTTTGAATCCAGAAAAAAATGCTGTGTAAATGTTTATGGGGCACATTGTGTGTGTGTGTGTTTGTTATACACTATACCTAAATATCAAACAATGATTTTTGATTTATATTTGCGATCAGTGACATTGAATGAATGAAAATCGATCGATTTTCTCTTATCATTTGATAAGCTTTTTTTGGTTAGGATAAATATCGATAAAATACATTAATGAATGATAGATTTATTAGGTTTCTCGAATGTCAAATTAACAATACACAAAAAAAATGATCAATTTGAATGTCAATAACATCATATTCTATATTAGAGACGTTTTATGATGAATTTCAAAAAAAAACTGCTGAATAAAATCAAAGTTCAAAAAAAAAATTCAATTTAGTTTTTTTGTTTGCATGACGATAAAGAATGTTTCGCCATCTAGTAATAATTTTTAATAATGTTATCGGATTTTTCTTTAATCATTGGTTCATATACTGATGATGATAATAGATCTGATGTTGGTACGACCGGTTTAATCTCTAAATATTCATTCGTTACGATATTATTTTGTCTTATAGTTTTTTCTAATTGTGTTTCAAGTGCATCATAATCATAAACAGGTATTTCATAAATTTCATTATGATCATCATCCGGTATTGTATATGAATTTCTTTTTTGTTGTGGTACACTATAATAATCAGTTTGTTGATCAACTTTAGCGCCAAATTTTTTCATCTGTATTATTAGATATATTGATACGGCAACAAATAATATGATCATTATGCTAATCAATATTATTACTAAATAAAAATTAATGAAAATATATTTTAAACAATACATAAAACAAAACAAATCAATCAAAATATCCAGATAATCATAATAATGATAAGCATACCAAGTTGAAAATTTGTTAATTTTATCGATTCCGTATAACCGGATAAAAATGAATCCGTTGATGATTGATCTGATTGTCTTGTCATTAGGCAAATTTTTTCCAAAATTTTCGACTCGGTTATTGATTCTATTTGATTGAAAAGACATTCTGGAATCTTTTCTGTTTTATTACTGTTGTTGTCATTGTCGATTGAATATTGATAAACTCGAACATAATCAACAACTAATGATGGACAATTCCATTGAATTTTTCCGGATAAATTTTTAACTGGAAAAAATATCCCGCCAACACCAATCTGAAAACGTAACTGATGATATGGTTTAAGGTATTTTTCTACGAAAAAAACAAACAAACATTTGACTTGGAAATTATAAAATCACAAACGCAACTTACTTTCATTACAGAAACAAATTTTTGGACTATAATAATCATCGAAAAAGTATCGAATACTTTCATTATTCCATTCGACACCGAATAGATGAAAATCATGCATAAAATTGTTTGTATTATTGTTGGTAATATTTAAAATAGATAATGGTAGATCAGTCGGTTCATAGAAATTGGTAGAATCAGCATAATGTATACCACGAACAATATTTGTTCCCTGTAGATAGGAAAACACATCAATTTGACCATTTTCATGCCAATATGATTCTTTATAATTTCTTGTAAATATAGATGTACGAAGAAAATTTCCAATTGGATTTGATGCTCGAATTTCATATCGGCCATGAGTAAAATAATTATTTGTTGTCATTGATGCTGCGGTAAAATCATGATCATAATAAGATTCACGATGTGCGGCTAACATTAAAAAACCATCGATAATTTGTATATTTTCTGGACGATTTGTATTACAATGTTCTTGTTGTACCCAATTACCTGTACAGGTATTTATTTCATTTTCAATTGTCCATTGATTATCTAATCTTTTTTTCGAATCAAATTCATCATGCCAAACTAAATTCCATTCAGAAATTTTTGTTTGATTATCATCATTATCAAAATATTGATTAATCCATCGACAAATTGGTTGTTCTGTAATGGGTAATTTTTGATCAGCAAATATCAGGATAAATGGCCATAATAATGAAAATTGAATAACACTAGTGAATATCTTCATGATTACATTGGAATAGCAAACCAATAAAAAAATCAACAACACAAACACAGATTTACAAAGGGAAAAAAAATCTCAATAATGTAGATCTAGCAGCAGTTTCAATCAATCAAATTTCTTTCGATTTGCAACGTTCGATCGAACCAGAAAAAATTTTCACTAGAAAAAAAAGACAACAACAACTTTTTCCAGCATCAAAAACAAAAAACGAAGATTTCCTTTATCGATAAAATCATCAAACAGACAAATAAACTAGAATGCTTTTCCTTTCACACTGATCTGGTGATTATTAAGTATGACAAAAAAATTATGTATTAATGAAAAAAATAGATTTATTTCAATTGATCTCAATGAAATGAAACAAAAAACAAAAAAACGACCATATAAAAAAATTGTTCAAATAAAATAAATAACAACGACAACAAACAAATTTTTGTTTTCAATTAATAAATTATAATTGATGCGAATAGCCAAAACATTTTTCCTGTAAAAATTTTGTCATTCGAGTATAAAGATGTTGATTTGATCGTGATAGAAAATGATTATCATCCGGATAGATTTGTACATCATAATCAATATTCGATTGTATTAATTGTTTTATTAACATTAATGTATGTTGATCATGTACATTATCTATTCATTTTTTTTTTGGAAAAACAAAGAAAAAATTTTTTATTTGTTCAAAAAAAAAAAATCATTTATTGTCAACTTACCATCACCTGTTCCATATATCAATAGAAATTTACGATTTCTCAAACCACCAACTAAATCTAATAGATTGGCATTTTGATATGGTTGAATACTGGCTATATCATCATTATTTGGTATTCCAAAATATTTTTCAGTGTATGCAGAATCTGTGTCAAAAAACAAACAAATCAAATCAATCAAATAAATAAATGGCCTTGAATATAATAATTATTTATTACCATAAAACATCCAATTAGAAACAGGAGCTACAGCAATGGCACATGAAAATAATCGATGATCAAATTGTTTAATCAATGACATCAATGAATAATAACCACCATAGCTCCAACCCCAAAGAGCAATACGATCAGGATCAACATAGGTAAGATTATTTTTCAAGAACCAAACAACATTGATTAAATCATCAACTTCGATACGTCCAACATTTCGATACAATTGATGCATATGTCGTAAACCTTGATTAGCCGTACCACGACAATCAATTTTAGCATAAATATATTGATGTTTACTTGTTAGATATGAACTCCAATGATTCATTTCATATTTATCTTTGATCATCTGTGTACCAGGTGCACCATACAATTCAATTACCATTGGATATCTTCGTTCTTCATTAAAATCATGTGGTAATATAAATTCAACAATAGCATCATAATTATCGGCTAATTTAACATAAATTTTTTCATATCTAGGTATAAATTTTGTTTGTAAAAATCTAAACAATTTACGATTCTCTTCAAATATTTCAATCAATTCATTTGTTTGTGCATTACGAAGTTCAACACGTGGTATTTCATAACCTTTACATTCAAGTATATAATATGTACCTAATTCATTGAAATGTGCTTCATTATTACGACAACTATTACCAAGATAACAGGTTAGACAAACAGTATCAGATTTTATAGTTAATGTTGTTTTCATTATATGCTGTACTTCAGGATGATTGCTTAATGTTGATGCATAATACCTATGATCGATAATTGAAGATATAAGAAAAAGGGTGAAAAAAAATTCAAATCAAAAAAAAACATACACTTCATTGGTGATGGGCGAATAATGAATCAGTTTGATAACATCATAATCACCATGTGTAAGAAAATTGATCGATTTATCCTGCAAAACAAAAAGAATTTAATCTCGATGATAAAATAAAGTTTTTTTCCGTATTTTAATCCTTCTTACTTTAATATTGATGGCAGCAATATGATAAAAATCACCACGAATTTTACTACCAAATTTGGGAATACGAATAATAACTTGATCAACGAATGCGGCGCTCAATAGACCATCTTCAAAACCATCCACCCAACCAGTTTTCGATTTTAAATCATAAAGCTTAATGTTATTTTTTAGGAAATGAAAAAGAAAGATTAGTTCATTGATTGATTGATTGATTGTTTTCACACAAACCTCTTGACATTTCCATTGATAATTACTATCACAAATTGTAAGTAATGAACGTTGTTGATTACGTTTTGTCCATACAATCAACAAACGTTCATCATCATACCAAATCACACGAGAAATATAAAAATCACGTTCGTTGAATAATTTCTTTGATGGTGGTTCAATACGTATCGTATGAATATTTTCGGATTGTGAATGAAGATTAACAACATAAATGGTTACTTGTGGATTATGTTGACCTGGTTTTGGATATCTTATTGTTCGTAGGTGTGGATATTGATTGGTTGTTACATTCGAATAATCACCAAAATTTTTGAATACAACCATATCAACTAATGTATCGTTAATCTGTAGATATGCAAGATAATCACCATTTGGTGAAAACCAAAATGCTTTAGCTTGATTTAAAATCTCTTCTTCATAAAGCCAATCACAATGACCATTGAATATAATACCATCAACACCGGTTACAGTTAATCGTATAGTATCTGAACGTGCTGTATGACGATAATAGATATTATTATTATAAATAAAAATTAATTGAGAATTTTTTGGACCCCATTCAGCCCATTGAAAATGTATATCAACAAATAATGGATCATCAAATAAATTTATAATCGAATCATTGTGTATATCATAGATTTTTAATCGAGAAAATTTTGAATAACGAAATAATTCGGTTGGTTCAGTTTTCGACCATAATAAATACTGTTTATCTTTGGATAGTTGTAGTCCACGAAGATTTTTCGTCAACTTATTTTGAAATGATTATGAAATTGGATTTTGAAAAAAAAAGAAAATGAAAATGAAAATAAAGAAAATTACAAATAGAATTTTTTTTTCACTTACCACTTGTATAAAATGTATAAATCGTTTTGTTATCTGTTGATCAACATCATATAAACAAAAATTATATTCAACATCATAAAATGCAATTTCATTGTTAGAAATCCATGAACCATTGAATAAATTGGCCGATAATTCATCACGAAATATTTCATCCAATTCAATTGGCTGTAAATATGATGATGATGATTGTAGCCGGTTGTCAATATTATTGGCCAATTCATTATTATTATTATCATTGGCTAATAATGGCAAATAATTATAAAATTTAGTGATTACGATTTTCATATATGAAAAAAAATAATTACCTTTAGCTAGATATGGAAATAATGATGATGATGATTGCTGTAATATGGATGATGATGAAGACGTTGATGATGGTGATGATGATGAGATCAATACATTAACTAATGAACTGGATATTAGACAAAATATTGAAACCAATATAAGCAATGTAATTGCGGATAAAAATTTTCTCTTTTTCGGTATTGTCGACGACATGTAGAATACATTACGTATTAGATTAAAGGGAAAAATTTTCGATGATTCTATAGGAATATTATTCGAATGATGATGATGATGATGATTGTGTGATAATGTTGATATTGATAACGGTGATCGGTGGTTACGTTGTTGATTGATTTGATTCAATGATGATTGTTGTTGTAGTTGCTGTTGTTGATTATTATCATCGGTAATTTCCATATGATCAAATGTATGATAACGATACAATGATATTAACCGAACATTTTCAATTTGATCACTGAAATTTTGTTGTAAAAGTTTTTGTCTAATTGAATTATAATTTTGAATTGATTGATTTTGATTGTTATACAATCGATATCGTTCTCTTTCCGGTGTATTTTGTTGATAATTTTTGCTAGTAAAATATAATGAAATTGGATTCATTTTTGTTGTATTGTTTGCCCACAAATCACAGAAAAAAAATAATTAGATTAATAATTCAATTTAAACATTAAGAATCGGAATGGGAGAAAATTTTGAATAAAATCTATGCGATCATCAGTGAATTGAAAATGAAAATTTTTATTCGCCAAAATACATTTTCACCTGTGAATTGACGGTCAAACTCTTTTGCATTTGATAATAAGAAATTTACTTTATCAAGTTTGACCGGGTTTTCATGATTTCTGGTTCTCATACACACACATTTTAGTAATGGAAAAAATGAGGTTGATCATAACGGTTCACTTACCAATGAGGAGAAATTAATTTGTATCAACTCAAAAAATAATAAGAAAATTTGTTATTTGGTCAAGCGATAAAAAATTTAATTTTCAGTTCAATTACGAACAAAATAATAAGAAAAATTTCAAACGTAAATTAACAACAACATTCATAATGAATTGTAGAATTTTGTTTTTTTTTTCGTTGAAACAAAAAACTTTCAAATGTGATATTTGGATTGAAAATGCTATGCATTGAAATTTCATTGAATGTCGTCAATATGCACAGGGATAAAATTCATAAAAAAACAAACAGGGAGGATTGCAAAAAAAAATCATTTTCAAATTTTCATGAAAAAAAATCATCAAGGATTTCAATGTGGTTAATAAGGATATTTTCGTCTATTTCACGACCATACAAGGACTGTTTTTTTCCCTGTTAATTGATTTTTTTTTGTTGAAATAAGAAGAAAAAGAAGAAGGAAAAAATTGACTTACCGAATGAAAAAAAAGAAATAATTAATTAATGAAAAATTTTAATCAACGTCAATGACCATCGATTAAATCGATTGAATAATCGATAGGTGTGACAATCGAAATGGCGTATTTTTGTTGTTTTTGTCAAAATTTCATAATATTTTTTGAAACAAAAACAAACATGGAAAACTATGGAATGGAATTTCTTGTAATATTTGAATTGTGAAAATGCAAATCAAATCAATTGAATTGAAATAAAATGAAAATGATTCAAAAAATTTCGTGGTTGTTGTCTTGGAGAAATGCAAAAAAAAACTATGTCCATGATGATGATGCTTAACAAATTGTTGATTAAACAAAGATACAAACACACACACAGAGAGAGAAACTAGAACACCTTTTTTTTCTATTTTATGGATCACATTTGGAACGATGATTTTCTGTTTGTTTGTTATGTTCAAAATTCGAAAATAAATCTATGTTTTCCGTGATGAAAATGTAATGATAAAAATATATATATCGAAAATTGAATCGGTTGACACATCATTATCCTAGCAACAGTTTTTTTAATTTAAAAAAAGAATTTCAATAATGATGATATTTTCTGAAAAAAAACTATTTCATAAAGAACTATTCAAGAAAAAATTATTTATTCGAAATGTTTTTTTTTGATGATGCTTGATGATGATCAATTTCTTTTATGAAAAAAAAGAAAAAAAAAGAAATCTACAGAACAAAATTGGTTATTTCATTGAATCATGAAAATGATCATCATCAAGATGATGATGATGATCGTCATTATCGTCGTCTGTTTTTGGTTTGTTTGGTACATCATAATCCTATACACATCTGCTAATGTCGATGTATAAGATTTTTCGTTGATGAATGAATGTTCAAATTGAAGACATTGAAAGATTCTCAAAGATAATTTATAATTTTTGTTTGGGGAGGATGTATTTGGCGTCTATAGATGATTCTTGTTTTTTGTTGTTGTTGTTGTCATAAAATCATCCAAATGATGATGATCATGGTTAAAAGGAGAAAGTAGTTTGTTTCTAAGGCGTTCGATTTAATTATAAAGATAATTATATATTCTCTATTGATAATGATGATAACCAGTTATTGGATTTGATGGTCAATTGATAATCTAATTGATCAGAGAGGGAAAGATAGAACCTTAAATGACTGATTCTTTATTTCTAATTTTTCGAAAAGTGCTGATGTAAAATGCTTTTTTCTCTGCAGATAGGATAGATAGCGAGAAAAAATTAAGCTAATGATCATTAGATGTGTGTGTGTGTGTTTTACGGATAATGATGATGATGAGAAGGAAAAGTTGAACAAACCTTGTTATAATTGGTTTGTTGTTTTGTAATATGATTGTTATCAAAACATTTCAAATCAATCTTTGATCAGTTTTTGAATGAAAACAATAAACTAATCCAAAATCATAATTGTTATCAAAATCTCAAAGCACTGGGGAAATATTGTGAGATTAAAATCTTGACAATCGATGATGACCTTTGGAGAAAAAAAAAATTTTTTCCCAAAAATTTCAAGAAAATCCAAATAATGGAAAAAATATTGTCAATCTTTGAAAATTTGATTCTCCCATGACGATGATCATCATCAAGATCATCATCATCATCATGCCATACACATAAGATTTTCAATGTCTTGGCCATATAACCCAATAAAATGAATGTAAATCCAAAAGAGATAATTGAATTTTATACATTTTTTCTGTTTTTTTTTCTCCTATTGATTCAAATCAGTTTGCACGGAAAAGAACACGTGATGTGACACGTATTTCCTGATTTCATTTTACATAAATTCCATCACTCTTTTTTTTTATTATTGATGATTGAATGACAGAAAAACAAAAACAAAGACTCAAATCTTACCTTGATCGATGATTCAATCAAAAAATAATGGCCAACCAAATTGATGAGAACAAACAAACAAAAAAAACAATCATAAATTGACTAAATTCACAAGAAGAAGAAGAAAATCATTCAACAATTCTTGACCATGGATACAATCACATTATTAATCATCATCATCCTCATCATCCAATGAATGATTTGAAATGAAATGATCAGTATGTTCAGTATGATATTAGTGTTTGTTTGTCTACATTCGTATTTATTTCAAAATTAAAAATGTAAATCTTTTTTTTTCTTCTTCAACGAATTTCATTCATTCATTCATGATTATTACTTTTTTTCCCATTCATTCTATTTCGATTTATCATTTTTTAACATTTTCAGATTTTTGATGTGAAATCGATTCAAATGTTCACCATCATCGGTGGTAGCAATTAAACAACATCAACAACAAGGCAGAGAGAGAACGAAAAAAAACGTGAATTTTGAAAGTGCACAATTCATTCATTTTCTTGGTTGTCCTCGACAACAGAAAACAAGAATTTTAGCATCCAATTAAACGAAACGAAAAAAAAATATCAATAGCATCGACAATTGATGCAATAAATTTTTATTTTGTTCTGCTGCTGTTTTCGTCGTTGCCGACGTTGTTTCAATTGATGCAATTTAACCATTTCAGACAAACAAAAATTTCTGAATAATGAAGATGAACAGGAAATTCGGAATTACAAGGCAATTAATTTCAACAAAAAAATTTTATTTATTTTATTTCAAATTCAAATATTACAATGTATGTAGGTGTCAAAAATCGATTTAGAAACAAAAAAAGTTTAAAATTTTGCCTGAAAAAATGAATGAAAAAATTATTAAAAAAATGAAACAAAATTCTAATCAATTTCTTTACGGAATCATCATTATTAGTTTGGATGGTTAGTATTGTTTCATTTGAATCGTTGTTGTTTTGTATCGTTATTGTTGTTGTTGTTAGTATTGTTATCGCTACCGCATAATGTTGATTGTAATAATGATCGTGCAGCAGCAGTCGCAGCTGCTTTTGTTGCCTGAGATGATGCTGTTGATGATTGTGATGATAATTGTGAACAATTAATTGTTTGACAAATCGGTGCTAAACGTTGTGATGTTGAAAATATTAAATTTGCTACATTATATAATGTTTTTAATCTTGAATTTTCATCATGATTATTATTATTATTATTGATAAAATTTAATTTATTAAAATGTTTTTTCGAATGAAATTGTTCATCAATTTCAATATTCTACTGATGATATTAGATTCGGAAAAGAATTATGAAAAAAACAGACAGACGAACAAAAAACAGAATGAAAGTTTAGTCAAGATAATTTTTCAAATGTTAGTTTGTTATATCTACTGCTACAATTGGATTTCATTCTCTGGGACGATTTTGTTTGTTTTTGGTTTATTTCACTATTGATGTGTATCAAACAAATAAACGTGCAAAAAAACAAGAAAAAAAACATGAATCAAAATAAAGTCAACATGCATAACAAAAAACAATCAAGGTTTTTCTAATTTTACCTTTAAAAAATACCTACCTTATGAAGATTAAGTTTTAAACGTAATTGACCACCAAAATCTGGATGTACACGATCAAAATTATGTACTACTTTTTCCTGTATCATCGTATCGGCTTGTCGTAAATGTTCAACAATATTATTTACTAAACGTTCACGTTCATCATTATTTAATACTTTGGTCCAAAAATCTGTAGCTTGTTCAAAATTATCATCATTATTATTATCATGACGATCAACTTGTCCAGTAATTTGATCACAATGATCACGATAACATTGATCGGTTTTCCAATTTGTAAATGAATTTGGCCAATAATTTGCCTGTTCACCAAAATTATCATCAAAACAATATGGTCCATCACGTATGGTTGGATTCATCATTGGACATTTTGGTCGATTCACTGGTAATTGATGAAAATTTGCTCCAAGTCTGAAATAATATGAATCAATTTTCGTAATTAAAAAGTTAACAAAACAAAACATTCATATGAAAATTTACCGATGTCGTTGTGTATCACTATAGGAAAAAAGACGTCCAATCAGCATACGATCAGGTGATGGTTCAATACCGGGTATCATATTAGCCGGACAGAATGCAATCTGTTCAATTTCGGCAAAATAATTTCTTGGATTTCGATCCAATACTAAATCACCAACTTCAATCAATGGATATTCTTTATGTGACCAAATTTTTGTCAAATCAAATGGATTATATTTAAATGTTTTAGCCTGTTCAAATGTCATGATTTGTACAAATAATTTCCATTTAGGATAATTTTTATTTTCAATTGCATTATATAAATCACGTGTTGAATAATCAGGATCTTCACCTATAAACAAAAAGAGAAAAATCAATGATGAATAAGTTAAAACAAAATAAATATAAATCACACAAACCTGCTAAACGTGTAGCAATATCAACAGGTAAATTTTTAATACCTTGTTGTGTTTTAAAATGAAATTTTGTATAAAATGCTTCACCACTATCATTGATCAATTTGAATGTATGTGATCCATAACCATTCATATGACGATAACCATCGGGTATTCCACGATCCGAAAATAAGAATAAAAATTGATGTGTAGCAGCTGGTACAAGTGAAAAAAAATCCCAAAACATATTAGCATCTTTAAGATTTGTTTTTGGATTTCGTTTTTGTGTATGAATAAAAGATGGAAATAGAATTGGATCACGAATAAAAAATATTGGTGTATTATTTCCAACCAAATCCCAATTGCCTTGTTCAGTATAAAATTTTATTGCAAATCCACGTGGATCACGTACAGTATCAGCTGAACCAGATTCACCACCAACAGTTGAAAATCTAACAGCCACCGATGTTCGTTTACCAATTGTATCGAATAATTTTGCTTTACAATATTTAGCAATTTCATTGGATGTTACTTCAAAATAGCCAAATGCACCGGCACCTTTTGCATGTACAACACGTTCAGGTATACGTTCACGATCAAAATGTGCCAATTCTTCAATAAATTGTACATCTTGTAATAGAATTGGTCCTTGTGGTCCAATAGTTAAAGAATTTTTTAGATCAGAAATTGGTTTTCCAAATATGGTAGTAATATTTTCTTCTCCTTCGTTCATTTTCTTAAATGAAGAAAATTTAAAAATGAAAAATTAATCATCAATAATGGTGTTCATGAAAGCGTAAAATTGTTGTTTTCTGAAGAAAATTATTTAAAAGTTATTTAGAAAGAATTGAAGAATTTTGTTCATGTCAGAGAAGAATGCACACACACTTTTGGTCCTGAAACTACTCAACCTACTAATAAAAACTGATTTGAACTTTATGAACTAGTTTATGAAAAAAAAAATGGTAATATGGAAAAGATAAGAAAGGGGAAGAAAAAAATTATTATTTATCCAACCACAATTCACTTATCATATGGTTGTCATAGAGATATCATATGTCGACCAATTTTATGATAGAATTGGAACAACAACTGAAAAAACAAAAATTCCTAAAGAGTGAGCTGACCTCGATTTTCAAAGTGGAAAACATTAGGTAATTCATACAGTAAAGAAATCAAATTATGAAATTTGAAACAGCAAACAAAACATACCTTATCGGATAAATTCATTCGTTTCAATTGTTCGGCTGCCAAATCTTTGGATGACATTTTTTTGGTTTTGCGCAATTTTTCAACCAAAAAAAAAAGATAGAAAAATGTTCACAAATTCAAAAACTGTATGATCCAAAACAGAATTGTAATTGATGATGAATGAACCGAATCAGCTTAGTTCATAAATACGGAATGACCAATCAAAAATCTGGATAGAAAATTTTAGTCCAAAAAAAAAAACCAACCGAATGTTACATAAAAAATAAACAAGAAGTGGTATGCAAAAGGTGAAACAAAGGTGGGGATGGAAAAAAAAAGAGAAAATAAAATACCAGTAGCAACTTCTGGAAAATTACACAATTAACTTTGCGAAACAAAAGTTTGTCAATGCAAAAAAAAACAAGAAAAACTAGTCCGAAAGAATAAAAAAAATTTCCCGACAAAAACCATCAGCCAAAGAAAAACAACACCAAATCAATATGTCATACGATCAAATCAAATTCTTTGATTGAAATGAGTTTTCTATACACATCAGCAGTAATTATTAGCTTTGTTGTTGTTGTTGTTATTGATTTGTAATCAATAAATTTTCAATTGCTGGTTTCTATCAACGACGATCAATCCCAATGTTACAAGCCAATGTTTAAAAGCCTGGCTGTACTCGCAAACACACACAAGCGTTTGTGATTAGTTATCAATTTTAAATTAGAGAGTGCAATGAGAGAGAGAGAGAGAGAGGATGTATTACAATGTTTTCCATTATCGTTATTTTGTTTGTTTGTTTGTTTGTTTGTTTGTCAGAAAAAAAACCTGATAAAAATAGAAGATTGAAATTGATTTTGGTTGAATGAATTCTTCTTCGTCTTCTTCTTCATCAGATGATGGTTGTTATTTTTTTTCCCAATCTATACGGTTGGTTAGTTTGAATTTTGTTTGGATCCAAAAAAAACTAACACAAATTTGTTCACATAATAAACACATTCGTGCTTGTAATTGTAATGTGTGTTTGGTTCTGGAGGAAAAAATTCACAGCAAATTTTGTGTAAATTTTCAATTCAAATTCAAATGATGGACACATATAGAAAACATGCAATTAATGATGATTAAAATGACACGAACAAAATACAAAATACTGACCAAAAGTATTACAAAGAAAAAATCCAATTACATTTTTTTTCATTATTAAACGCATGCTCATCGGTCAATCACGGAATTTATTCGTTTTTTTTTTGTTGAATAATTTGAATTTTGTTTTTGTTTGCAATTTCCATAGATCTTCTCCGCTCTCTCAGTGATCAAATTGTCCATCACATTTCTTTTTGTTGTTGTTGTTGTTGTCGTTGTCATTGTTTGCATACATAATAATCATATAATAATGATCTGAATGGTCAGTTGGATACTCATTACTTGCGTGAGTGTGTGTTTGTATCCAATGATGATTTTTAATTCGAAACAAAAAAAAAATGTAATTTTTTTAAATTTTTTGAATAAACACTATATCGCCATCTATCGCCATCGCTAAGTATTATTATGGATTTAAATTTTCAAATAATGTTTTTTCATCACGAATTTGAAATTTGCCAAAATTTTAAAGAAAAATCAATTCGGAAAAACCCAAACAAAACAACAACCAAACATATCTTTTCTCTAATACAAATGATGGACGAATGACAGATGATGATGATGATGGTAAGAACATTCAAGTGAAGAGAAAAAAACCCAAATCAAACCAAACAAGAATAATGTACGACTACGCAACAAAAAAAAGAAGCAAAAATGGCATATGACACACTCACACACACATAAACAAGGAATTAAGATTCAAGAAAATTATTTTCAATTCATTTTCAGCTCATCTTCATCATCATCAACATTATGACTTTATCAAGTTTTGAAGCCTGAAGCACAAAAATAAATAAATAAATTTTCAATAACATTCAGCGAAATTCAAACAAAATAATAACTGATGGTTGAATAAAGATGAATGAAATGAAAAAAAAGGATTGATCACCTGACACTAATCAATTCTTAATCTTAGTTGTTTTTTTGCATAAAATTAACTAATTAATTATCATAATAAACACCTTTTTTTCAATGATTTACCTGATTTAATCTACCACTTCTGAAAGAAATGAATGATTATTAATGACTTTTTTTACCTGAAAAACAATACCAACCAAATAAGATCAATGAAAATTCGTTGTGGGTAAAAACCCAGCGATAAGCAAAATTGCGATTTTTTTTGATAATAAAATCATATTTGTAATCAAAAAACAAGAAAAAACATTAATTATAATCAATGTCCATCAATCAATCAATCAATCAATGGTGATGATCATGATCAATCATCAAATCCAGGAAATTAAATTAATAAAGTTTTTCCAAGTAACAACAACAACAACAATGATTGAAAAAGCATAAAGGAAACAAAAAAAGGAAAATAAAAAAACTTTTGTAAACGAATGCGCGCAAACGAGCGAAAATACTTTGGATTCAATCGGGGTAAAAAAATTTTTTGAGTAAATTTTCAATATGGAACAATTTCCGAACACAGAACAACGATGAGAATTCATTTTGAATAAAGTGAAAAATGTTCAACGATAAAAAAAAAAGAAACATTGAAGCGAAACAACAACAACAAAAACGATTTGTTTTTTTTCTGGTTGTTTTACATAATGATATATTTTACTGAAAAACAAACAAATTGAACTGTACAATATTTGCGGAACTCTTTCATTCGATCCAAATACAGGACATCATGATTGAGTGAAAATAGTAATTTTTTGAATTTTGAATTTGTTGTTTTGTTGTTCATCGATGAAGAACAACAACAACAACAAAAACGGTAGATTAATTTTTGTTTTCAACCAAAAAAAAATTTCCGGTAAATCACACATGTCATTTATGGCAAAAAAAATGATATCTTTTTATAAATATCATGTTTGTGTGTAAATAGACAACATTTTTTTGATAATTGATTCGAACTTTTTTCTTTTGCTCATAAACGACGTGACAAGATTGATTTTTGTTTTTGTTGTTGATTCAATATCCGGATCGATTTGAATTCAATCAATATAAAATTGTTATTGTTTTTGGTGTTATTTTGGATCATGTGGAACTTGTCCAAAGAAAAACTTGAGTGAATTCAAGTGTGCCAAAACAAAACAAACAAAAAAACCAAAAGAAAGTGAAAATTGAAAAACCAAATATTTCCAAGGAAAAAAGAAATCCCATATGGGAATCCAAAAAACAAAACGATAGAAATATTCTGAACGAACAAAAATTCTGCATTTGATGTTTGATGCGTGTCTTGTCTTGTTTTGTCTATTTTGTTCAATCAAAAAAATCCAAATTTATCCAAGATTAATGATGGATTTTTTAGTTTGTTTTGAACAACAAAAAAAAAATTGTCAAATAATATCATTGACATACAAATAACGAAAGAAGAAAAAAAGGTCAAAAAAATTTATTCAATTGCCTGAAATTTTGTTCGTTTCTCTCCTAATGATGTTTCGTTTTTCTTCGTCGTCGTTGTTGTTCTCACAAATCAAATGTGATAATAATAATATATCTCCCGATGGCAAATAATCAAATTCAAATTAAATGTTCCAGAAACAAACAAACAAACAAACAACAAAAAATTCCTGTTACGGGGGTGGTGATTGTCGTCTTGTTTATTGTGGGTGACACAAACACAGGAAAAAGAAAACAACAACAACAATCTTTTTTTTCACTAATTAATTTGGCAAAAAAACTGGCTGAAAACTGAAGACTGAAAAAATTGACAAATTTTTCCGAGACAATAACATGACACGCATAAACAAACAAACAAACAAATTTTCTCATTCTGAAATTGTTAAATCTGATTGAACTTTTTGAAAAACAAAAACAAACAAAAAGGAACACGTGAAAAAACACGACGTAATTTGAATGTAAAATTTTTAAATGGAAAAAAACTACTGAATATTTCAAGTTTTAATTTAAATTAAATTTTTTAGAAAATTAAAACACGTTTTTCTTTCTCGAGAAAGAAAGAAAAAAAACATTTACAGGATTTTGGATTTCTGTTTCACATGTGTGGATCATCATCATCATCATTGTTTTACTTTTTTTGAAATTAAAACCGATTAAATCGAGAAAACAAAATTTAAAATGACAATTTTTTTGAAAAAAAAATTTCAATTAAATAAAATTCAAATTTTAACATCCATCTGGATTGATTTTTATTTCCTATGTGATAAAAATGAAATGAAATGAAAAAGGTTGTTTTTAACTGTGTTTAGTTTCTCTTTTTTCTTGTTGTGTTATTATATAACCTAAATAATCTGTTGTTTATCCATAAACACGTTTTTTGATTGATTGATTGATTGATCGATTTGATCATGATCATGAAAAAAAAATAATAAAAGTTGTTCAATGAACTTTTGCCATGTTGAATTGAAAAAAAAAATAAAAAACACAAGGTTTGTTGTCTCAACAAGATTATGCTCTATATTTTTTTTTGTTGTTGAATGTCTTGAAAAATTTGATAATGATCATCATAAATGCAAACAACTCAATTGGTTTTAATGATCTTATAATCAAATTATCATTGAAGTGAAATCAATATAAAATGGTTGTCTGCAGATGTTTGAATATAGAGGCAATTGTTTTCTTGTTTTCTTTTTGGGATAAAAACATCTACAGCAACAACAAAATGTTAATCAAGATACATTTCCAAGATTATCATTATTTGTTGTTGTTGTTGTTATTGTTTGAGATCAAATCTTGATATTCAAAACATTAGAGGAAAACAATCGAATGAATGAATACATTACATTGATTCATTCATACAGTGTTAATATTTTCATTTTTGTTTTGTAGACAAATTTATCATTCATCAGATCGTAAAGTGATGGTGAAAATTACATTTTTTTTTGATATGAAAATAAATTCAGAACAAACCTATTTATTATATAAAAACATCAGTGAATGGATCCGATAGATATCAGATTTTTTGTTGTTGTTGTGTTTTGGAACATGGAACTGGCAATATGATTGACATTTGACCTTTTTTTTTGTTGATCCGGTTCGAATTCGATATATCGATTGTTTCGTTCATTGAATTGAAATTTTTTGACATTATATTGACTATTGCAACAGGTTTGATGGATGGTGAAAATCCTTTTTTTTTGATGTTTTGCTTGTTTCAACATTTTTTTTCATCATTAAATTTGACAATTTTTTTCATTATCAAAACAAACGAAAAAATTTGTGACATTCACATCAATAATGAGTTTGATATTCATTCAGTAAGCAGAAAAAAGGATTGATGGAATCAAAAATCAATCAAGCGACATTTTTTTTGCTGCTGCTGTTGTGTAAATTGCCAATATTTGTGTGTGTGTGAAAGAAGTCCCGAAGTTGATTATGTAAATATTTTGTTCGGAAAGTCAATTTTCATTTCGACGTAAGAAGAATGACAAAAAACAATGAAAACAATGTCCGTTACGGCAATGCGGTATGATGATAATTAT